ACGATTCATATCTATGGAAGTATTTGCTGTAGTGAAATGAAAATGAATACATCATTAGGAGTTTCGAATTCATCTTTGGGCAACTCTGATATATCATTAGGAGTTTCGAATTCGTCTTTGGGCAACTCTGAAACATCATTAGGAGTTTCGAATTCATCTATGGATATCTCTAACACATCTCTAGAAGTTTCGAATTCCTCTTTGGGCATTTCTAATACATCATGTATCATTTGTAATCATCAAGTTAGCCAGGTCGTTGCAGTTTTGCAAATTATTTTTGGGTTTGGCGTGTTGGCTGGAAACTTGCTGACGTTAATACTGCTAGTTAAATGTTCCGGAATAAAAAGAACTATTCGATTATCTCTCATTAACCTGGCCGTGACGGACATCTTGTTAGGTGGGGTATTCATGTATCATTATTCTGTAGTATATCACATTTTACATAACGCAGTCGAATGTCGAATACGGTACATCTTCGTCAGCCTTCTCAGTGGAGCTACGCTTACAACTGTAACCCTTTTATCACTAGATAGACTTCTCGCCTTAAAGATTCCGTTTCTATATCAACAGATAGTCAACAGCAAGACGATGGGGGTTGCCATGGTAATCGCTTGGGTGAGTCCCCTTGTTGTTGTGTGCGGTGCATTCCCCTATAAACAACCCATACAGGAGTGTAATTATTTACTAGTTGCGGACCGCAACACGGATATTGTGTTTGCTTTTTTTAACCTATCTTTGATTCTGATAACCGTAGTGTGTCACGTGACTATTTATATCGCTGCCAGAGAGCAAATTCAAAAGATTATTCCGACATTTATTGGCACGGAGAGACGGTTGATGGAAATAAGAATGAACCTAAAAGCCGCCTTATCAACAACAATCATAATATTGCCGTATATTGTTTTCACTACGCCATTTTATTTGTTTTTCTTGGCGGTAGCCATTAAACCGGAACTAAAGAACAGTCTCGTGACACTTTATATTGTGAATTCCTTGTACAACCTGACGGCCTTCACCAGTTTAATTAACCCGTTGATCTACGCCTGGAAAGTAGCCGAACTCCGACAAACATTGAGGAAAATGTTGAATCTTAAAGTTATAAACGATGGGAGCGGGAGACAAAATCTCCCCACCACCGGAAGAAGCGGTAATGCGCCAGACGTTCCTCCTAGACCGATTCTGCGAAATGTGAAAAACCCCCGAACTCGTCAGATAGTGCCGTTAGATTCTTCTACCCAACGAATTTCTTCATAATACCCCAGGAAGAGGCCTCCTTCCCAACAATATTCTACTTGACGAGAAAAACACCCGAACTCGCCAGATGGAGACAATGTGCGGTGCGTTCCCCTATAAACAACCTATACAGGAGTGTAATTATTTACTAGTTGTGGACCGCAACACAGATATTGTGTTTGGTTTTTTTAACCTATCTTTCATTCTGATAATCGTAGTGTGTCACGTGACTATTTATATCGCTGCCAGAGAGCAAATTCAAAAGATTATTCCGACATTTATTGGCACGGAGAGGCGACGGATTGAAATAAGAATGAACCTAAAAGCCGCCTTATCAACAACAATCATAATAATGCCGTATATTGTTTTCACGACGCCATTTTATTTGTTTTTTCTGGCGGTAGCCATTAAACCGGAACTAAAGAATATGTGTGTGAGTTAGTTTTATTTAACGTCCGCTTCCACCGCTTCGTGACTCTTTATATAGTGAATTCCTTGTACAACATGACGGCCTTCACCAGTTTAATCAACCCGTTGATCTACGCCTGGAAAGTAGCCGAACTCAGACAGACATTGAGGAAAATGTTGAACCTTAAAGTTATAAACGATGGGAGCGGCAGACAAAATCTCCCCACCACCTGAAGCAGCCGCAATGCACCAGACGTTCCTCCTAGACAGATTCTGCGAATGTGAAAAACGCCCGAACTCGTCAGATAGTGCCGTTAGATTCTTCTACCCAACGAATTTCTTCATAACATCCCAGGAAGAGGCCTTCTTCCCAACTATATTCTGCGTGATGAGAAAAACACCCGAACTTGCGCCAGATGGAGACAATACAGATAGACTCTTCTACCTAACGAATTTCTTCATCATAATATAATACGGGAAAATATCTGAAAAATTGTTTCGATTGACAAAAGCACCCGAACTATGTCAAACATTTAGAAAAAATGTTCGCGATGGCTTGCTGATTTCGTCAAGGTCTCGAGATGTAAACAGTGTTAGTCCCTAACCCACAATCTAGAGTTCTCCTCGATAAACATGGAAATGACAAGAGTCGATTTTGTTTGTTTTATAATTGATGAATTACTTTTTCAAGAACAATAAAGGTAGCAATAAAGGTAGCAATAAACACCCGTACTTTGCCAAACGTTCTGACGTCGGATCTATGATAAGTGATTTTATAATATCAAATAACAACAAATTAAATGTCCTGATATGGCAATGATGTATTCCAGGAACCTGTTTCACGAAATTTTAACTAAGCTAAAATCCAAATTTTAGTAATTTGATTGGATAATATTAGATTGATTACTCCTTGTCACGTACAACCGGGGAATCGAAACCCCGCCAGTTGATTCAACGACAGACCGTATGATACAGCGCGCGCGTGCTAACCATTCGGCCATCCAACCCCCCGAAACGTTTTAGTGAAATAAACCATAGTAATTGTTATGCCGTAGAAAAGTGTGTTATTTGAAATAAAATTGAGTTTAACGTCCTAGTTTTATGCACTGGTCAGGCGCTATGGTCTGCACTTATTTCCAATTCCAGTTGCCATGAACGCCAATATGTTCACGGAACCTCAGTGTTTCGCCCCATACGAACGACAAAACACCGTTCCTTGCCAGGCCCACTGTCCTGCATCACTGACATAGATAAACGTTCCCAGCAACGGCAACAGAAACAGCATCTAGGCGTTTGTAGATGTTGTTTAGTATGCACGTAAACGATTTGACAGGTTGTAAAACGACGAAGGGTCAAAATTCCCAATATCGCCCATGCCTTTGTCGCAGCTATATGCGGCGCCTAAATAAAAGTTTAGACTCGCTGCTTTAAGTGTTCAGGATAGGGTGAGGAGAAATGATAACGCAAGATGGTTTTAAAAGTTTATATAAATATCACCAATATCACATAGTTACAACAAAATATTATAATGATCATTCCGCGAACGCGGTTACAGTTTAAAGATGAAGCACCAGGGCATCACATGAAGAACGTCAAAAAACCCTCATGAATAATAATAACAACATGCCCTGAAAGAACAAAAATACATTCCATACTAAACTAATGATACAAGTCAATGTTATACAATCTAAATCATATCACAGTAAAACCCAATGGTTGACGTCCATCTTTGGATAAAGTCTATAAATTATTTCATAAAATCATAATATAGAATCATTCATTCTACGCACTTTATTTCACCTTCATTAGGCAAATCGGTGCTGACAGGTAGGACATTCTGTAACTCTGCTAACAACAGTCTGCTACATATAATCGCCAATTATTTGTCAATTTCTCGGACATAGTTTTATTTACAAGCATGGCGGCATGTGAAGGGTCGGGTGCGGGCGGCGGATGTGCTACATGACGCTTCAGGGTACCCATATTCCTGAAGCAATGGCCCGAGAAATCCCTCTCTGGCCATTGCTGGATTAGCTTCTGATACTTGCGCTTTTGAGGGAGTGTGTCTATTCTTCCCGTTCAATCAAATCTATCCCAAGTACAGCAACATGACAGCCCTTCGTTTAACCTGGGATCTTCCCTAAAATTTTGGACAGTGATTTAAGGTATTAAAAACGGTGAAAGTATTCTTCATCTCCTTACAGTATTGTTTACACTGTATTGGTGTTGATAGCCTCGTTTGTCACGCAATTAGTTTTTCTGCAATATTCTGCTATGCACTGGTTAATTGGTCATAATAAAATCGTGAGTCATGACGTAACGTTATGTAAACATATTTGGTCCAATTTGGAGCTCTGTTTGGTATTGTTACGCAGTTAGCTATTGGTTGTTAATCGAACTATTGACCAGTCATAATTTAGAACTAGAATTTGCTTTCTTTACAGCAGTGAGTAGTTGTATTAGCTCTAATCAAACGAAACACTGCGAGGAGTATGCAGGGTACCCCACATGGCATATTTTCACTCGAGTTCCGGTCATCGCAAGGTTCACTCCAGTGCTGAATGATCCTTGTATGTCGTGGGTAGTGTAAAAATGGAGGTCGGGAAGGGGGGGGGGCTAATTGTTTAACGCATGCGCGTTAGATCATAAAGTCTGACACTGAGTTAGAGAGAGAGAGAGAGAGAGAGAGAGAGAGAGATTAACGTCCACTCGACACAAGCTAAGTCATTTTGGGACAAACACATGGTTTAATTTTATTTCAATAATTCGCTTGCGCGTAGGAGGTCTTTAGCAGTGGGTGGAAATCGGAGGACCCGGAGAAAAAACACAAGGTTGGACAGGCGACCCTACCCTTTTTCACGGACAACCGGGGAATCGAAACCACGCCAGTTGACCTAAGGACAATACTTATGATACAACACACACGCGCTATCCATTCGGCCATCCAACTTCCAACCCCAACCCACTCCCTTTACCCACTTAGCCACAGTGACTCCCCTTGATCATTCATTGTACGTGGCAAGGAGTAGGATCGCCCCAACCTGGTGTGCTTTCTCCGAGTCCTCCGGCTTCTTACCGGAGCTAAATAGATATCCAAGAGGAAGCGAATAAAATAGAACGATATGTTAGTCCCGAAATGACCTGGGTTGTGTCGAGTGGGCGTTAAACCCCACCATTTTCAATTTATAACATCTTTGCAAATAATGTACACACATGGAGATTGGGATTTTTTTTCCAATATTTTAAATACTGAACGGAGCTGAACCATGTATAAACTGATACCCCTTTTATAAATTCAACTTTCACGATATCGTAGTTTTCAGGGGGTGCACAATCCCCCATGAGACTTTAAATCATAAAAAACAAACAATTTTTATTATGATATCCACTTTCAGTTTCTCTAGAATAAATTTACATACATTATCACAGACACGGGGGTGTTTTTTATCGATCACTGATTTGCATTAAATCAAATTTTCATCTTTAACGTCCATCTAATTTAAATCGATTACCCTAATCAACGAATTTATCGACACCGATTTCCGAACCGATTACGCCAAATTACCGTAATTAGCCTGTGTCACCATAAACGATATTAACGTCACTATTTACACAATTTCAACGTTATTTGATCATTTCAACGATATTAACGTCACTATTTACACAATTTCAATATCATTAGATCATTTCAACGATTTTAACGTCAGAATTTAAACATTTTCAACGTCATTAGATCATTTCAACGATTTTAACGTCACTATTTACACAATTTCAATGTCATTAGATCATTTCAACGATATACTCGGTGTCACCATAAACCATATTAGAGTCTGAGTATCTCCTGGAACAGACAGTAGATCATTTCAACGATGTCACCATTTCTAAGAACTAAAAATATATTAGCGTGGTGCCTTGTCATTATATGTACATCTTTCCAACCCGACAATTTAGATAATTTCACATAAAAGCTTCTTTGGAGATCTTTTCGGCGGCCATATTTAGATCTTTATGGGTCACTTTTTATATCAATATCAATTCATTTTCAAGATCAATTGGTATCACCATATTCATTTTGTACACCACACTCTCCAACTGTCGCAATATCTAATCAAACTTTTAAAGCATTTAGTAAAAATTTGTGTTTGCGACAGCCTTCTCTGAATTCCTGTAGAGTTATTGTCCCATCTCGATCAGCGTCCATTGATCGCATCAAATCTGAACACAGTCTGTCTATATGTTCTTTGCTAGAAACCCCGCGTCCATGCATCTTAAATATTGCCTGTAATATAAAAAAAAAATAATCAGTCCACACGATTTATATAGAAATGAAAGGAAATGAAGTTTAAAGTCCTATTGTTCGGGGGAGGGGAGGGGTTGATTGCTGAATGGTTAGCGCGTGTGCGTTGAATCATAAGGTCTGTGATTGAGTCAACTGGCGGGGTTTCGATTCCCCAGTTGTACGTGACAAGGAGTAGGGTCGTCTGTCCAACCTCGTGGATTTTCCCCAGGTCCTCCGGTTTCCTCAAACTGCTAAAGACCCCTACGCGCAAGCGAATTATTGAAATAACATTAAACCATATCTTAGTCCCGAAATGACCCAGTTTGTGACGGGTGGACGTTAAACCCCATCTCTCTCTCTCTCTCTCTCTCTCGGAACCGACTGGGCTAATGAAGACGGACGTACGCCATACCATACAGTGTGCTATTTTCCAGTCATTCCGAACGACTATACGTTGTCCCTGTCAGACCCCCTGTCCTGCACCTCTGACAAGGAGGGAGCACGTCGAAAAATCCCGATGAACTTTATCTGTCAGCGCAGGGATCGAACTGTGGCTCCCAGATTTGTTATGAAACAGACCAGATATGATTTGTTTTATTATAATCTGCCAGGATGTCGATCTCTGCATTGGCCGATAAAGTTCATCGGCATTTTCCGACGTGGTTTCCCCTTGTTAATGGAGATGGGACGAAAAACCGACTCCCCGTGTATACATTGACGTACACATAAAGATCCCTTGGCAGTTGGAATTCGATATAAGACTGGGTCATAGTGCCGCTGCCCGGACAAAATTTCCCTTATAGCACACTGTATGGCGTATGCCCGTCTTTATTAGCCCAGTCGGAGCAGAACAGTAGGACGTTAAACTTCATTTTATTTCATTTCATTTTCTGCCAGGATGTTTGACGTGTGTGATAAATCACAGGTGCTTGTCCGACATGGACAAATACTTCGCACAGAGCATTGAAATAACATCGAACAAATATCGTGTGAATTCAGCATTGCCGCCATTTTGGCTTCACTGAACTCTAATCCTAATGAGCAGAAATATTGCCTCGGGGCTTCCGATTGATAATATTCTCGGAACCGACCTCACTCCATATAATTGACGTTGCCTTCACCCCATCCTACCCTTTTCAAATTCTTGGACCGGCCACACAGTGTCCCCTGTTTTACTTACCCTCACAATTTTCTTAAATTCCTTCGGGCTAATAACACCATCCCCATTGACGTCATAAACACGGAACGCCCACTCAATCTTTTTATGGACGTCATCACCCGTAATGCTACTCATTCCTAGTACGAACTCTCTCAGATCGATGGAACCGTTCCCGTCCAGGTCCATGACACGAAACACGTTTCTCGCAAACGTCTTTGCGTCTCCGCTTGTAAATGTCTGTCGGTACGTCTGCACAAACTCGCTTTCTGTGAAGTAATTCTTCCCTCGGCTGCGGACCAAAAATTCTTCTTCCCATTTCTGAATGTCTCTCAGAGATAGGAGCCTCGATTCCTTAATTTCCTGAATACTAATTGGGCCTTTGCTAAACTTGAATCCCATTTTTATTTTCAATCTGAAAATAGACAACAACAAAAAAAGAATAAGCAAACGTCATGACCATTATGTCGACCTCTGCTTTGAAAGTAGTTTGCTACAAGACAAATAAATCACTGCGATATCATTTATTATACAGCGGACGTTAAATGATTTCATCTGAAATACAAAATTGAAACGATTCAACAACTTTATGATTTTCTGAAGCGGTGTTCAAAGCTTATAAAGTCTACTGCAATGACGATTGTTAGCAAGTCTACTGCAATGACGTGAACAAATCTACTGCAATGACGTAAACAAGTCTACTGCAATGACGATTGTATGCAAACCTACTGAAATGCAATCTGATTAAAACACACATCCTATTTCGTTTCGTTTTTTATAGTTCAAAATTTCGTTTCACTTGTCTAGGATCTGGAAGAATTGTTATATAACGTGCGTTTTGGTTGAAGTGAGGGATCAGCCAATGAAACGGTCTGTTACGGCGAGTTCGTGGCGTTTGATGTATGGAACTGTGGGTAAACCACTAGAAACGTCAACGCTGATTGTTTAATTAATTAATGTCTGACGTCATAGGGTCAAAAGCCGGCAGTACGACCCCTGGTGCGAAATTCCAGTAAAACCTGTCAGATCTTTATGTAGTGTAGGCCAGCGAAAGTATTAAAAAACCAAACGAAACGAAATATAGAATCTGTATTTTTAATCAGATTGACTGAAATGATTTAATAATATTTTATTAGAAATTGGCTCGTCACTCTGACTTATCAATAACGTGTATATACAGATATTCACTGGGAAGCTATTAAATCTTTCTTTGGATTACATTATGATCTGTCAAAGTATATTAGGATATTGACAGGGGAGCTATTAAACCCTTCTTTGAAATACATTATGATCTATCAATAACGAGCATAGCTATATCTAGATATTCTCTGGGGGGCTTTTATTCATCTTTCTTTGGAATATATGACCTGGAATTTCATTATTTGTCGGGGGGCATTTTTCATGACAGTCTAACAAAAGATCTGATTTAATTATAGTAACTATAAAACGCGCAATAGTACATATTATAGTTGCTTATCTTGTATTCACATAAAAATAAAGTTCGAGGTCGTAAATATGCTAATTACTAATAGTTGAGAAGTACAAATACATACATGGCCACGTGTTTACTTCTGTTTACTTATGTGCTGATCCCGGATGTTTGGAGAGAGGGGGAGAGAGAGAGAGAGAGAGAGAGAGAGAGAGAGATGGGTTTAACGTCCACTCGACACAAACTAGGTCATTTTTCGGGACTAACATATGGTTTAATTTTTTATTTCAATATTTCGCTTGCGCGTAGGGGTCTTTAGCAGAGGGAGGAAACCGGAGGACCCGGAGAAAACCCAGGAGGTTGGACAGGCGACCCTACTCCTTGTCACGTACAACCGGGGATTCGAAACCACGCCAGTTGACTCAATGGCAGGCCTTATGATACAGCGCGCACATGCTAACCATTCGGCCATCCCCTCCCCTCCCCCATGTTTTACAGTCATTAGCCCAGATCGGAGCAAAACAGTAGGACGTTAAACCCCATTTCATTTCATTTCATTTCTAACTCACTGAATCATCGTGGCTCCCCGAGCATGGTTGTCGATAGCCTACTCTGTAATATTCCCTGTTGGGTTCTGTCTATTCGTCGATAATAATAAATCGATAGTGTGCCAGCTTATATAATTCTCAATGGAGATCCGTGTACATTAACTGTTAATTACACATAGTTCAATTGAGAGCCAAAACCTGCTGCGATAGTTTTACAAAACATGGAGTCAAACTTTGTATCCATGTTCGTGAATTGATTCTTATTTTTAGCCTATATACATGTAGATATTAATTTTAGAATATCTGTCGTTGGTGTTTTTTGTTTTGTTTGTTTTTTTATTTTGTTTTGTTTTTTTATGTTTTGGGGGGGGGGGGGGGGGTTGTTATTTGTATTTTACTTTGCTTATTTATTTATTTATTTGTTTCTATATAATGTACATATCGTCTATCATAATCATAATTCTTAATGAATGGCAAATTTTTTAATACTTAATAAACTACTGTTAGTACTACTACTACCGCTACTACTACCACTTCAACCACCGTACTGGTTGTTCGAAGCTAAGTATCGCTCCTCCATATTTAACTTAAATCAAAATATTGCTGAACTGTTCTAATCTATTCAATATCGGAGAAATCCGATGACATCGAGAGTTGATTATGGCCTGGATAAGTTAATTAATGTCTAATTATTAATTTAGAAAACATTTCAGGCCTAAAGAAAGGCCTGCGATAGGCAGATTTAGCTCTTGCATAATGTATGTTTAGTATATAATAATTTTTGAATGTGATGTATTTACAACTAACGTCTACTCGACACAACTAGGTCTTTTCGGGACTAACGTATGGTTTTAATTCGCTTGCGCGTAGGTATCTTTAGCAGTGGGAGGAAACCGGAGGACCCAGAGAAAACCCACGAGGTTGGACAGGCGACCCTACTCCTTGTCACGTACAACCGGGGAATCGAAACCACGCCAGTTGACTCAATGAGAGACTTTATGATACAGCGCGCACACGCTAACCATTCATCCATCCAACCCCCCTTACTCCTTGGAACATACAAACAATGTAGTGTAAAAAAATCAAATGAAATTATAATCAAAGGGACTGGCGAATCAAAGTCCAATTAATAAACAGTACATATATACATACAAGATCCACAGAACATACGTAACATTCTTTCTGTGCGCCTCACAATACATATACCTGTATCTTGGAGGTCTACAAAATCTTAATCCAGCTCTGTTAGGAATATACAAACAAGATAAGAAAAATAAAACAAGCTCCTAAATTCAGTCAATCATTTTTTCACAATCTCTACACACAAAAAAATTTCCCAGAATAAACTGAACATACGTACATACACTTATCTTATTTGAATCGTTGAAAAGAAGATTCAAGAAAATAAAATCACATATATCAAACACAATTGTCCAGGAAACATATTCATTATTTCACAAACTCCCCACAAAAAAAAATTTGTCCCAGAATAAACTGAACATATGTACAAAAACTTATTTTATTTGATTCGTTGAAAAGAAGATTCAAGAAAATAAAATCACATATATCAAAGACAATTGTCCAGGAAACTTATTCATTATTTCACAAACTCCCCACAAAAAAAAATTTGTCCCAGAATAAACTGAACATATGTTCAAATACTTACCGTATTTGAATCGTTTGAAGAAAGAGTCAAGAAAATAAAATCACATATTATGTCAAACACAACTGTCTAGAAAACATATCCTAAAGCTTTCTCTATATACATACAGTATGATATCGACTTCTCAATGTAAACAATATATATGTATATTCTCAATGTAAATCAAACATACATAATATAAAATAGAAGTATTCAAGTCATAACGTGTTTATAATCATTATACTAGCAAGAAGTGGCAATATTTGTACACAGGCCCTTACAGTCAATTATCTAGTATAGGTCAAGGTCTATAATAGATCTAATAGTTAGGTAAAGTTCAATATTTAGCAGACCGTTTAATTCAAGTTTCATTTCTTGCGTATTATTGGATTATTTAGCAGTTCAAAGCGTTAATCTTGACGCTTAATCGGGCATCATTAATCGGGTTTCAGACAGATAATCCGGGCGTTAAGGAGAGGATTAGTGACTCTTGTATTTCAAATTAATGAAAATGACAATGCTCCTTGTCCATTCTTTAATTAGATCTAATTGTGTATTAATCCTGACAAGAAAGAGAGAGAGAGAGAGAGAGAGAGAGAGAGAGAGAGAGGAGGGAGGGGGGTTACTCCACTCGACACAAACTAGGTCATTTCGGGACTAATACATGGTTCAATTTTATTTCAATAATTCGCTTGAGCGTAGGGGTCTTTAGCTGTGGGAGAAAACCGGAGGACCCGGAGAAAACCCACGAGGTTGGACAGGCGACCATACTCCTTGTCACGTACAACCGGGGATTCGAAACCACGCCAGTTGACTCAATGACAGGCCTTATGATACAGCGCGCACGTGTTAACCATTCGTTCACCCCCACCCCCACCGCCATCTTTTACAGGCATGTATACAAGTAAATATAATTTGTTGTTGTTTGGGGGTTTTTTTTATTAGCTATTGCCATTATGGCTGTCACCTATTTAATGTTTTATTTGAATGCTGTCCCTAATAGTGTAGCAGTGAGAATCTCCGGTAATAAGTAAAGACTGGAGCTATCCTATTTAATTATTTCCGGAAAACATTAAACATTGTATATGAAGAACAGCACGTCCGACAATCAGAGTAACTGTCCTGGAAACGGATGAAATCTAGAATAAATGTATATAAATGTACAATCGATATTTATAATGAAATGGTATCTAATAGTAATTAAACTCGTTAATGTGTCAGCTGCCGACCGTCTGTCATAAGAATAGTAGCTTAGCATGTAATTAAAATGGTGGATTAACAGAAACATAAGAATAATAGAAATGTTTAATTGAATGGATGAATAATGAACGAATGAAATTTTGAAAGAATGAAATAGAAACAATTCATAAAATTATCACCATTATAATAACCTATAGGGTGTTTAGATACAGTTGAATCTTATATTATGTTGGCGTTCACGTACAGCTTTCCTGGTAATGTTTTCTTCATGGCACATGCCCGTGAGTGAGGAAAAGTAGGTCGTACATTCAACCCCTTTCATTCATTCGTCATTAATGGTGGTTCAACTCCTTGTTCCATGATCATCTAATTGCAGTTCCCTCCCTTGAACATAATAATCATTTCTTATTCAGAGTTATCTCCCTGCCACTCCACGTTATTTCATTTTGTAAATAAACAAGGAATGTTACAAAAAGTGTTGCAATATAAATAAGAAGAATCATTTAATTATGCTAGTTGATGCTACTGACAATAGTTAGATTCTGTAGAATGGCGACTGCTGGTAGTACACACAAATTTATAGGTATGGATTTTTTACTGTCAACATTTGATTGAAATTGAACATGCTGTAAATAAATAGGAACCTTACCTTGTGGATGCTAAATTGCTATATAGGCGGCTATAGTATAAATGTGTTTAAGGTCATGAGATTAAACAATCAAAACAAGTTCTAATGATTTTTGATAATTAAGTAAATGTAGTAAATATGAGACAGACACCCGTTGAATTCCTGGACGACTTAAATTAGCTTCTGTGGGCATATGATGTTTTGTTGCAACCTATGTCATCTATGTTTAATTTTAATTTTCTATTTCAGATATTGGGGTGAATTTAACAGGTACATAGGATGAGTATTAACCATTATTAAAAAGAAAATGTTAGTCTGTGACTGTACAATTGGAACTTAGCCAATTGGAACTTGGAGCAACATTTCTTCCAATTGCATAGTGTCGATCTCGACATGGCACAATCTTAAAAGACAGCTGCCCATCACATATAATGCTGCCTTTGGAGGTGTCAGGCCCTGATTCTGAAAGAGAGCCACATGTACCCATCACATAATGCTGCCATGATGCATTACGATCCTTAAAGATACATTATGGGAGATCCGATAACGAGTTTGCAGTTCTCATTATAATAGTTAAAAACTAGATAATGTAAAGGCAATTTGCTGAAAATTTCATTCAAATTGATCCACTATGAACCGAGAAGTAAGCGATTGTAATTTCCGCCTAGCCTCGATCATCATTACTAAAGTCAGTACGATAAATAGCATAGTCTCAATTATCCATTTAATCGTTAAATCGTGAAGGAAAGTTATGCAGTAAATCGGCTCACAATCCACTATAGATCGAGGCTAGCGATGCCATCTAGAGTTGATTATGGTCTGGATAAGTTATTTAATGTCTAATTGATAATTTAGATAACATTTCAGGCCTAAAGAAAGACCTGCAATAGACAGATTTAGCTCTTGCATAATGTATGTTTAAATTAATCCAGGTACCGGTATTTTAGAGATTAATGTTGTCTTGGTTTTATTTAATTTTTTTGATGTTTGCAGCTGGTTGTAAGCCAATTTGGGCCCAGTGCTACTTTCATAGGTTATTGATATTTAAAAAAAAGTAATTTCTGGACATTTACAAAGTCATTTCACTAAATGTTTATTTTATTTATCTATTTTGAACAGATCCTGTATTTCGAGGAAGATATCATGGGTCTAATAAACACCCAGGTAGGTTCTAATTTTATCCTTGATTTATACTAAATGAAATGAAATAGAGATTTAACGTCCTTCTGCTCAGACTGGGCTGATAAAGACGGGCATACCCCATTTGTGTGCTATGGGAAAAGAATTTGCCCCGACATTGGCGCTACAGCCTTCCTTTATATCAAATTCAAACTGCCAAGGGTTCTTTTAGTATACAGGACCTCGGTTTTTCGCCCATCCGAACAACTTGTCAGGGCCCCCCTCCATCCACCATCACTGACAAGAGGTAACAAAACTTGAAATAGTGTTACATTTAAAAACCTGTTCATTTCAGATGATTTTGAAGATGTTGTGGATCGAGCCAAGAAAGTTGGAATGCAGAAGGTCAGTGTAATGATTTAATCTATTGGCTGTTTAATTAAGAGCTTAATTTACCTATTGCAGGTCTTTACTTTGGCCTCAAATGTTATATAATCCATTAGATAATCAACACTCTATAGAACATCGGATGGTTAAGTATCAATATTCTTATTAACTGGTGATCGTGTTTCAATCCATTAGAAGCAGGACCACCCGATGGCCCAGAGATTTGAGTATGAGCTGTCTATTTAATTATTTAAATAGTATTTGAGGCCAAAATAAAGACCAGCCATAATGCATCTTTAAAAGATTAGCTATTCCTGTTGGATAATTGTGAAAGTTGAATCACTAAAAGAAATATCAGCCCTAAAAAGCTTCATTTCCCTTCATTATTTACAAAGATTGTATCTTTTGGCAATTTTGCAACATACTTCAGCCTCTGACGAACAAACCAGTGGAACCTATAGTCGTTGGGTAAAATCTTTATTTCGTAGAACCTGGGAGATTATCTATCATTGATGTTTTGATTTTGTTTTAGTTAAAGCTACAATTTCATATTTTTAAGTTATATTTTTAAAATTTATTAAAATAAAGCCTTAAACCGTCCTACCTTGTTAAAGAATAATCCTATTAATCCTATAATTCACTATTGCCAGCTGAGAAATTGGCAAAAATATCATTTTCAACTTCAAATTCCAACGTTTGAAGGTAGCTAATACATGGAGGCAATAGGAAAACAAGGGTGGTAATTGTGTTATTATTTCCTGTGTCAATGATTTTTAAGGGTGGGAAATAATGCCCATGGTCGTATAATAGTGAGTTGATAACCTATTGAGCAAAAGACATAGAAATAATTATGTTTTTGACTTTCTTAAAAAATATGAAATTCTTGCTTTAAAAGGTAAATAAACAGTTTATATGGATTATGTAGTAAGGGATAACATGTTGTTCGGTAATTACAAATTGCGAAAAGCTGGTGGTCAAATGGTTTAATGCATGGGCGTTAGATTGTATGTGACAATAAGTGAGGTCGCCTGTCTAACCTTGTGGGTTTTCTCTGGGATGGCCTAGTTATTTTATATTTTAATTTATTGAGTAGATGATTATAACAGGAGGTAATTTAAAAGAATCTAAAGAAGCCTTGGAGATTGCAAAACAAGAAGGTAAAGTTACAAAGTCAATTCCATTTCATTTTTATTTTTTATTTTGTAGTACATTAATGTCTCTAAAACCTGTTTTCCATGTGCACGTTGCTGGAGAAAAAGTCGGTCAAGTGCAAATGTAATTCCTGTTTTGACCGAGAAAGTTCATCAGGAATTTCCGGCGTGGTTCCCCCTGTCAGTGGGACAAAAAACAAAGGTCCTGTGTACACATTGGCGTGCTTTTAACATAACCCTTGGCAGTTGGAATCCGATATAAGAGTAGCACTGTGGCGCTGCTGTCCGGGGAAAACTGTCCAAGCTCATAGCATCCTGTTTTGAGGGGGTTGGGTGTCCGAATGTATCATAAGTTCTGTCATTGAGTCAAGTGGTGTGGTTTTGATTCCCTGCTTTAACCTTTAATGTTAGTCCCGATATGACCTGCTCTCTCTCTCTCTCTCTCTCACTCTCTCAGCCCAGTCCAAGAAGAAAATTTCATTTCTCTGTGTTATTTTGTAGAATCTTTATATTGTACTGTGGGCTGTCATCCAACAAGGACAAGTGATTTCGAGAAAAGTGGGAATCCCGATAAATATTTATCAGATCTGATAGAACTAGCTCTAAGTAATCGAGATAAGATAGTTGCCGTGGGAGAATTTGGTTTAGGTATGGTAATTTTTTTTACATAAGATAATTGATTCTTATTTTTATTCTTGGTCACCTCCTTATAGTGATGGGAGCCACAGTGGCTCAGTGACGTAGTTCCAATTGTCAGTGGTGCAGGATGGGGGTGGGCTGGAATGGAACAGTGTCTAGTCGTTTGGATAGGACTAAAAATTGCGGTCCTGTACATAAAGAACCATTGTCAGTGGTGAAGGGCGGGGTTTGACTGGCAAGGAAAAGGATCTAGTTTTTCGGATAAGACTAAAAATTGCGGTCCTGTACATAAAGAACCATTGTCAGTGGTGAAGGTCAGGGGTTGGCTGGAAAGGAATAGGGTCTAGTCTTTCGGATAAAACTAAAAATTATGGTCCTGTACATAAAAATCATTGACAGTTATAGCACACTGCATGGCATATGATATGACGATTTGGGTTAGACGAGTAGGTGCAGTAAAGTAGAACCGTATACTCCATATGTCATTTCTCTCATTACTTAGATGACAGCTGATTATTTTCATCTGAGTGCTAACAGAAATATCTGATAATGGTCGATATTGATTACATGACCTTCTGCTTAAAGATACTTTTCCCACAAAAGTATTTATCAGGTGGTTATTTCCAATAAAAGTATGGCAATTTTGGTATATATGGAACGTAGAAAAATACTGGATTCCCTGAAAAACACCCATGGAGCGCATACAGGACAAAACAGACGATTAATGATGTCTGCTCGAGTGACGTCAAAGGTTGCACGCATAGATTGTTTGATCGCTCAGCGTTAGGGAGTGTTTGATGTATATGTTGATAAATTTGATGTATCTTTAAAGAAATGAAATGGGGTTTAACATCCTACTTTTCTGCACAAGCCGAACTAATAAAGATGGGCGTTATTTATATAGATTATTATTATTCGTTGTAGATTATGATCGTCTTCATTTTAGTCCAAAAGAAACTCAGTTAAAGTAAGTTTCAGTTTCATTATGGTTTTTCGTTTGAATTGGCTACTCCAAGAAAGGACAGAGAGTACGACGTCCCATGTTTGATTCTGATGTTTGCCCAGATAGCTCACTGGTATTTTCGATAGGGCAAAAAACTGAGCTCGTGTGTACACATTGGCGTGCACGTAAAAGAACCCTTAATAGTTAGAATTCGATATAAGAGTAATGTTTAACATCCACTCAACACAAATAAGGCCATTTCGGGACTAACATATTGTTCAATTTTATTTCAATAATACGCTGGCGCGTAGGGGTCTTTCACTGTGGGAGGAAACCCACAAGGTTGGGTAGACGTCCCTATTCCTTGACACATACAACTGGGGAATCGAAACCACAACTCATTGACAGACCTTTTGATACAACATGCATGCGCTAATTATTTGGCCCTCCAACCCTCCTTATTTCATAAACCTAACCCTTATTTCAATTGGTGCTTCCTCAAAAACACTTGGGAACCATGGTGGCTAAGCGGGCAAGATGCTGGCTCGCTAGTCTGGAGGTAGCATGTTCTTTCCCTGCATTGGCCGAGAAAGTTCATCACGATTTTCCGACATGGTTTCCCCTTGCCAGTGGTGCAGGACGGAGGGCCTGACAAGAACAGCTGTCTAGTCGTTCAGATGTGACGAAAAAACCAAGGTCCCTTGTATACATTGGCACGCACTTAAAAGATCCCTTGGCAGTTGGAATTCAATATAAGAGTAGGTCATAGTGCCACTGCCCGGGCAAAATTTTCCTCATAGCACACTGTATGTCGTTTGCCTGTCTTCATTAGCCCAGTATAGGAGCAGAACAGTAGGACATTAAACCCCATTTCATTTCATTTCATTTATTTCAGTTGGTGCTTCCTCAAAGTAAAAAGTTGTCTGAGCATGCACAGAATTTCTTTTCTGAGTTTCCATTTGAATCCATTTCAGATATTTTGAGAAACAAATGGAATTAGCTGAAACGGCCAAATTACCGTTATTTTTACACTCTCGAAACTGTTCAGATGATTTTATAGATATTATCAAGAGAAATAGAGATAGATTTACTGGTGGAGTGGTGAGTTTATTTATTTCATATGTTGGCTTGCTAACCTGCGGAGGCTGGGGAAGTTCATCAAAATTTCGTTTTACTTGTCTTTGCTACACTATTACCGGCGTTCTGGTTGATAATGGCGAGTTCTTGGCGTGCGATGCATGGAACTTTGGGTAAACCACTAGAAACGTCAACGTCGATTGATTAATCAATTTCTGACGTCAAAGGGTCAAAAGGCGCTCGTACGGCCTCCAACACAACCTTCCAGTACAACCAGTCAGATCTTCATGTAGTGTAGGCCATCGAAAGTATAAAAAAATGAAACGAAATATAGATCTGTGTTTTAATCAGATTGAGTAAATAATGACAATCATACAAACACAAAGTTACTTTTAGTATGGCACGTTAACCAGTGTTGGAAGAGAAAGTACCTCATGGTTTCCCCATGTCAGTTGTGCCTAAGTCAAAGTGTCTAGCTGTTCGGATGGGACAAAAAACTTATAATATGAAAACACCATTTGTCTCTTGTGTCAGTTTTATATTGTAGGTTCATTAACCAGAGGGGGTTTTGTTCCCAGTGTAGGACGAGATAGTTACTCATGATTTTTTTCAGTCTGGTTCCTAATAGAAAAGCATCTAGCTGTTTGGATGGGACAAAAAATCTACAATATATAAATGTCATTTTTCTCTAGTATTGATTTTATATTGTAGGTTCATTCGTTTACTGGAAGTAAAGAAGAAGCTGCCACCATTTTAAGTCAGGATTTATATATTGGTATTAATGGCTGGTACGTATCAAACCATAACTTCATGGATTATGGCCCCTGATTATACGAAAAATCACGTTTATAGCTTGTGGACGCTCTAGAGGTCACAATTTTTATCTGATTTTGATGACACTTAAAATATATGTTTATAGCCCACAGATCTCAATTCCTTTTGATATTTGCGCATATCAGACTGTAAGTTCCGGGTTTATGGTCCCTGAAAAATCACGTTATTAGCTTGTGGACCCTCTAGAGGTCACAATTTTTATCTGATTTAAAACAAATATTTCACCGTTACACCAGTATGATTGTTGAGTTCGAATTTGTAAAAATTGGACCAAATCTGCCCAACGAAATGGCCACTCCCCTTGCCCAAATAGTGTAAACATATGTAATACCAAGGTTGTGAACCCTCTGGAGATCACAATTTTTGTCCAATTTTTATGAAACTTAAAATATATGTTTATATCCCAAAGATCTTGGTTTCTTTTGACATTCGTGCATATCAGATGGCAACTTCCTGGATTATGGCTCCTGATTGTACAACTTGTCCATCTTTTGCAAGGCAACCGAGTGTAAATTTAAATTATTAAATAGTGATCGTATTTCAATCCGTTAAAAATCACGTTCATCCGATAATCTAGAGAGGTTGATTGTAGGCTTGTCATGTGAATAAATGCCTAATTAATAGTTTATATCACATTTGAAGCCAAAACAAGACCAGAAAAGGGCAGATTTAGCTCTTGCATAATGTATCTTTAACTATCTTGGTTACCTGAATAAATTCAAGAAAAAGAGATCTGTTTTAAATCTCATTTTCGAAACAGCCCCACACTAAATACGGCTCTGATCTGTAGACCCCTAACACTCATGATTATAGTTCTTAAAGGGGCATTATGGGAGATTAGATAAAGAGCTGACAGTTCTCACTATAAAAGTTTAAAAAATAGGTAATGTAAATAGAATATGCGTAAAATTTCAGTCAAATTGCTCCACTCTGAGCCGAGATATTAACGATTGAATTTTAGGCCTAGTCTTGATCATCATTACTATAGTCCGTACAATAAAACAAAGTCTCGATTATCCATCACAAAATGTATTTAAATCCAGTAAACATCACAGGCCAGCGATGCCATCGAGAGTTGATTATGATCTGGATAAGTAATTAATGTCCAATTAATAATTTAGATAATATTTCAGGCCTAAAGAAAGACCTGCAATAGGCAGATTTAGTGCTTGCATAATGTATGTTTAAATAGTTCATAGATATTCACATGACTCTGCCAGTTTGATGTGCCAGTGGGAGTGCTGGATTCAGAGAGAGAAATGGGGTTTAACATCCACTTGACACAAACCAATTTTATTTCAACAATTCGTTTGCGCGTAGGGGTCTTTGACAGTGGGAGGAAACCGGAGGACCCAGAGAAAACCCACGAGGTTGGACAGGTGACCCTACTCCTTGTCACGGACAACTGGGGAATCGAAACCACGCCAGTTGACTCAATGCTGGATTCAGACAGTGGTACAAGTGTAAAAGAGATATATATGTAGTTTTATGTTTTCCAGTTCGTTAAAGACCCAGGAGAATGTTGATGCTATGTGCTCTATACCAACTAACAGACTGATGATAGAAACAGGTCAGTTATACAGTTTATACTCTATCTCCATCTATTAGTATTTAACGTCTGCTTCCACAAGGGTGATATCAACAAGAATGTACTCTCTCAGTAAATGTCTTGACTGAGTTCAATAATTAATATTTCCCATTAAAGCTAAGCAGAGCAAAGCAATTTCAATGGTCAATGCTTTGGAACTAGCTAACTTTGATTTTAAACAATGGCGAGTGATGAAACTTAGTGTATTGTTTCACTACCAGGTATTTCAAAACCTTGATTTAGTTTGATTGTGAACATTTCCTGCTTAGACTAAGTATAGATAATCAGTTCGATTGCTTAATACTTTTGAAAAAGATAAATGTGCAATTAATTATTATGTGTCATCTGTTTTGTGGGGGGTGGGGGGATTTCGGCAGGGGATATCATCCTTACTGTTGGCTTTTTGTAATTAATTATGAAATTGAAAGTAGAATTTATATTATTTTAGATGCCCCCTGGTGTGAAATAAAAGCAACTCATGTAGGAAATAAACTGATAAAAACTAATTTTCCGTGCAAGAAAAAAGAAAGATGGGAGAAAGGAATGTGTGTAAAAGGTAGAAATGAACCAGCTCACATCATGTAAGTTAAATTATACACAATATCATTTAGCAATTTAAATATTCTAGTTGATATGGCTCAGTGTGTGAGGCGCTTGCTCACTACCCTGGAGGTCTAGAGTGAGATCCTAGTGTTGGCCGAGAAACTTCCACCTGTCAACGGGCGGGTTGAATGGTTAGCGTGTGGGCGTTGTATCATAAGGTCCTTCATTGAGTCAACTGTTGTGGTTTCAAGGAGTAGGGTCGCCTGTCCAATTATTGAATAAAAAATTGAACCATGTTAGTCCCGAAATGACCTAGTTTGTGTTGAATGGACGTTAAACCCCATATCTCTCTCTAATTAGAAATGTACACGAGTAGTAATTGGTTCTAGATTACCGATATCATCTTCCCCTCTACCTTCCAAAACATGTCCAAGACGCAGGATTTTGAGGACAGATTGTTCATGTTTACATTTATACAGGGGGTCACGGTGGCTAAGTGGGTAAGACACTGGCTCGCAAGTCTGGAGGTCGGGTATTCCATCACTGCATTGGCCGAGAAAGTTCATCCAGATTCCCCCTTGTAAGGATGCAGGTCGGAGGGCCTGACAAGGACAGCTGTCTAGTTGTTTGGATGGGATGAAAAACTGAGGTCCTGTTTTCACATTGGCATGCACTTAACAGATCCCTTGACAGTTGGAATTCGATATAAGAGTAGGCTGTAATGCCGCTGTCTGGCCAAAATTTCCTTCGTAGCACACTGCATGGCATATACCTGTCTTCATTAGCCCAGTTCAGAGCAGAACCGTAGACATTAAACCCCATTTCATTTCATTTACATTTATACAACTCTCCTCCTTTGATTCATTTTCAGACAAGTTTTAGAAGTAATGGCTGCTACTAGAAATGAAGACATCAATGATTTAGCTGAAACGATGTATCAGAATACACTTAAATTATTCTTCTCTCGAGATAATAGCTTATGATGTATATATTGTTTATATTTATAATATTTATAATAAATAAATCTCCCGTACTTATATCAAGTTCTTGTATTTTTAGTAAACAAATCTGGGGAGGAATTTGGTGCAATAGTTAAGAGAGCCATGGTGGCTAAGTGGGTAAGACGCTGGCTTGCTAGCCTGGTGGTTTCGCATTCACTCTCAGTTTTGGCCAAGAAAGTGAAGTGGTGCTGAAGGGAGGGCCTGACAAGGACAGCTGTCTAGTCATTGGACTGCATGTAAAAGATCCCTTGGATTTGGAATTCGATATGAGTAGGCCGTAGCGCCGCTGTTCTGGCAAAATTTCCCTCATAGCACTTCGAGCATCTGCCAAAAAGATCCAAATGTCCCAAATGTAACGAAAATATGACTCCTGGATTCGTGACTAGAAATTTATTTGGCCCAAATTCGAAAAAAAATGAGATACAGTGGCCCAGTGAGGTCAGAGGTTCGATCTCAGTGTTAGCTGATTTTCCAGCCCTGTTAGTGGTGCAGGACAGAGGGCATGGCAAGAAAAGGTATCTAGTTCATCGGATCAGATGATAAAACAAGGTCCCGTGTATACCATTACCAGCATGTTGAGGTTCCCTAAATTGTTAGAAATAAAAGTAGGTCATAGTGCCGCTATCGAGTCAAACTTTCCTTTTATAATACTTCATTGGCCCAGTCATTACACACAAGAGAATGAGAGAAATGGGGTTAAACGTCCGCTCACACAAACTAGGTCATATGGTTCAATTTTCGCTTGCGCGTAGAAGTCTTTAGCAGTGGGAGGAAATGAGAAAACCCACGAGGTTGGATAGGCAACCCTACTCCTTACCACGAACAACCGGGGAATCGAAACCACACCAGCTTACTCAATGACAGACCTTATGATACAATGCGGATGTGTTAACCATTCGGCCATCCAACTCCCCCCACCACACAAGTAAGACAATAAACCGCTTGTATTTCTCCTGAAGGCTGGACTATTTGATTCTAGAATATAATGCATTCGTTGTGTCAGTAAAAATAATCAATAACTGGATCATTTATAATAATATTTATTTCGATGAATTTTTTTTTTACATTCTTAATCAATATTTACATAATTAACATAACATCATTCTCACAAATCTGGGATCTTTTCTAAAATAAATAAATTAATAACAGATTGAGACTTCTAAAGATGTTTAAAATACAGATGTGACTTCATCCTTTGATGTTGGTATTACGGCTCTGTAATGGTATGGGTGCCTTTGCTAATATTACATTATTATTGACAGAGAGACAGAAATGGAGTTTAACCTCCACTCGACACAAACTAGGTCATTTCAGGACTAACACAGCAGGGGAGAACCCAGAGAAAAGCCACAAGGTTGAATAGGCGACCCTTTTCTTTGTCACATACAACCGGGATATTGAAACAACACCAGTTGACTCAATGACAGACCTTCTGATACAGAGAAAACCCACAAGGTTGGATAGGCGACCCTATTCTTTGTCACATACAACCGGGATATGAAAACCACGCCAGTTGGCTCAATGACAGACCTTATGATACAGTGCACATGCTCTAACCATTCGGCCATCCACCCCCACATTATTATTGAAGATGGCGGTCCAGTGAAAGTTTCATAGATAAGCACTTGTATGTCTAGTATAAACGTCTTTAACCTGCACTGAATTTTATCTATAATCAAAACTATGATTAATGTAGCACTTTGAATTTATTATGGACAAGACATGCTAAAATTAAACAAAGCTGAATTTTCATTGGGTCAAGATTTTAGTACTCCGCCAATGAAAGTCAGGCATTATTAAAATATCATACTTTGAGTATTTGTGAAACAAAGTCCCAGGTTTGTCTTTGGTGAAACAACATTTTGTTTTTTGGCGGATAAAAAAAAGGTCACGGAGTATGGACATCAGAAGAAAGCTTTGGAACAGGTGCCACGATTTAACACTTTCAGTGCCATGGGCCGATTTTCAAAAGGAGCTTGTTCGGCCCAAATTGGTACATGGCTCTGAAAGGGTTAATTTGAAGTAGCTGATTCATTTTTTTTTTAAAATAAAATAAATAATTGTTTCATCAATTACTATCTGGCCATGAAAGAAAGAAAAGGAACATTCTAAAGTTAAAATTTATCTCAAAACATTTCATTAACAACAATTTTATACATGACAAGATACTGTTATCATGTCAATATTTTAAAGTATATTAATGACAGCCATCATTTATGTACTTTTTACAAATTTCATCGGGATTGTGTAGTCTTTCGAGACTAACATAACAGACAATTGGGGAATCAAAACCAAGCCAGTTGACTCAATGACAGTGCTTCTGTTACAGCGTGCACATGTTAACCCCTCCCCCATCAGGATCAAACACAGGACCCCCTGATCTATGAGCCAACACCTTACTCACTGAGTCACTGTGGCCCCCCAAAGAGTTTCCAAGAATTATGAATGAAATATATATAATTAATTTGTACAATTTGAAATAAATATGAAATACACATCCATGAACAATTTAAGAACATGGATATATTTACGACGACCACCACCACAACATTGTTGTCACACGTCTATTCATTGAATGGCATTTAGTAATTGGAACATAATCAAAAACACACTTTTATGGATAACAATTACTATGGTTTATTTCACTGCGACGTTTCAACAAGGTTTCACTTATCTATTTGTGTATATGCTTGATAACGACTTGTGAAACCTTGTTGAAACGTGGCAGTGAAATAAAACATGGTAATTGTTATTCCATAAAAGTGTGTTTTTGATTATTGTCAAACGTCTATTCTTCAGATGAGTAAAAATAAAAAATAAAATAACATTCTTGATGATAATGCTAGTCTATTTATATAATATTTACAATAATATACTGCATATTAATTTAATTAATTGACTAACAATTCAATAATAAACATTCTTTAATCAGTTAAATAATAGTTCTCTAATTTTTAGACAAAAAAGTTGTTCAGGGCACACACCCCAAAATGGATCTAGAGTACACATGCATATCAATATCTCAACAAAACAATTAATTCTTTTCCAGTCAACTTCTGAACAATGAGCATAATTCACACATAATAATAATATTATAAAGTATTTCATTCATATCTTAGCCGCATAACTTCTAAATATTATAACATATTTCATATCTTAGTAGTCAAACTTCTAAATATTATAATATATTAAATTTTCATATCTTAGTGTAGTCAAACATCTAAACATTATAACATATTTCATATCTTAATCATCAAACTTCTAAATATTATAAAATATTTTAACTTCTGAACATTATAACATATTTCATATCTTAATCGCCTAACTTCTGAACATTATAGCATGTTTCATATCTTAATCGCCTAAGTTCTAAATAATATAACATATTTCATATCTTAATCATCAAACTTCTAAATATTATAAAATATTTTAACTTCTGAACATTATAACATATTTCATATCTTAATCGCCTAACTTCTGAACATTATAACATATTTCATATCTTAATTGCCTAACTTCTGAACATTATAGAATGTTTCATATCTTAATTGCCTAACTTCTGAACATTATAGAATGTTTCATATCTTAATCGCCTAAGTTCTAAATAATATAACATGTTTCATATCTTAATCGCCTAACTTCTAATTATATTTTGTATCTGAAGCTACACATATGACTTTGCACTTTCATGTAGTTTCTTATTGATGTATTTGATACATTAAAACTACAAACGTTTTATAAAGGCCTATATTTTAGTTAAAATCAGGTGAATAATTCTAAGTAAATTCTGAACTTAAGTCTGAGAATGTTTTGTGAATTTGGGGTCTGTTGATCAGTATTAACGATAAAACTAATTTAACTGTTGACAAGAATTAAACCTGATTATTTTTATTTTAATAAAATGAGACGATGTATCCATCCTTGCTATTTAGGAAGACGTGACCGATACCAAAGTTTTTTGGCACCATGCTACAGCAGACATGGTGTAGTTCCGTGCCACTTGTAGACTCCAAATCGCTGTCTTTTGAATATTTTCAGGTGAAAATTGACCACTGTAAAAATAGAGAAAACAATTAATAGAGAGAGAGAGAGAAAGAGAGAGAGAGAGAGAGGGAGAGAGGGAGAGAGAGAGAGAGAGTTGGGGTTTAATCTCCACTCGACACAAACTAGGTCATTTCGGTAATAACATATGGTTCAATTTTATTTCAATAATTCGCATGCACATAGGGGTCTTTAGCAGTGGGGGGACCTAGAGAAAACCCACACCAGTTGACTCAATAGCAGACTTTATGATACAACTTTTGCATTAAAAGTTACCGAAAAAAGTTCTAAATTTTTATTCTTATAAATAACACGCAACCTAACACCCAGAGGACTGTGAGTACGTTTCTATGGTAGCAGTCAGCAGAATTTATGAAGGAATGATTGAAGCCAAGGAAATGAAATGAAATGAAATGGGGTTTTACGTCCTATTGTTCTGCTCCGAACTGGGCTAACGAAGACGGGCATACGCCATACAGTGAGCTATGAGGGAAATTTGTCCCGGATAGAGGTACTACGGTCTATTCTTACATCGAATTCCAACTGTCAAGTGATCTTTTACATGCATGCCAAAGTGTACACGAGACCTCGGTTTTCCGTCCTATCCGAATGACTAGACAGCTGTTCTTGTCAGGCCCTCCGTCATGCATCACTGACAAGGGAGAACCATACCGGAAAATCGGGATGAACTTTCTCGGCCAATGCAGGGATCAAACACCCGACTTGAAGCCAAGATATAGAAGTTATGTTTTGTGTAATACCTTCTAATATTGATCAAGTTTTATCATGGGTATTAGAGTTGCCAGTTTTAAACAATGACAGAATTTCTTTAGCCGAAATGGAGCAACAATTTTCAATTCTGTAAAAATATATATATACCAAATTTTTTTCAAAAATTACGATTTACAGGAATAAACAATATATACTATTCAAAAAAAGTAGGGGATATTTGATTTTGGGGGCATAATACTAAAATATGCAAATGACTACGAAAAAAGTCACTATAGAACCTAACAGAAGAAACATTTCCAGTTACATGTGACGCCCAAACGCACCAATAGCTACCGCATGGAATGCAGGTGATGCTTGGGATCATCATGGGGGTCCAACCCAAGATTTGCACGACTCTGACTTTGAATGTTACAGTCATTGTGGCATTGAATTCCAGGGTGGAAACATCAATTTAATTGTTTTAGTGACCAGAAAACAAATTTTGATATGCGTCGGCTTACCCAAAATGAAAGGTTACGTGCCCTTGGCATGCTACAGATCGGCACAACACAGGCGGTTGTGGCGCGGACGATGAATGTTTCTCAGTCTGTCATAAGCAGGCTATGGTCCAGATACCGTGATACACAATCTGTACAGGACAGACCACGCTCAGGTCGACCAAGGGCGACAACTCAAGCCCAGGATCGATTTATCCGTACCTTGGCCTTGAGAAATCGTGTCATCACAGCAAATCAGATCACCGCTCGTCTTCAAACAGACACTGGTGTGAGAGTGAGTGGCCAGACGATTCGGAATCGACTGCATAGGGGTCACCTTCGCGCCGGACGTCCTCGCGTGATCCCTTGTTTGAGAGATCATCACATTCAGGCAAGACGTCGTTGGTGTAGGGATCGTCAACACTGGGATAATCGACGCTGGAGCACAAACAGGGCTAATGAATTTGACAGGCACAAATCTTGCATTGTAGTATGAAAGAAATATTGTTCGGACAACAGTTTCGTTAATACAAACTACAATACAATTTTATTTCAATAATTAGCATGCACGTAGCGGTCTTTAGAAGTGGGAGGAAACTGGAAAGGACCCGAAAAAACAAACCCATGAGGTTAGGTAGACGACCCTACTCCTTGTCACATATAAACCTGGGATTGATGGATACCAAGTTACTGGACTCAATGACTTAACATTTATAGATCCTGCGTTAGACCACTTGACACCTTCATACAGTGAAAACTCAACCTACAACTTACACCAGGACATTTTTCTCTAGCCAGGCATAGGACAGTAGGACTAGCAGAATACCCACAAGGTTAGGCAGACGAAACTACTTTTTGTCACATACAAGTGTGTAATCAAAACCACACCACTTGACTCAACGACAGACTTTTGATTTAAAGCGCAAATGTTGGACCACTCGGCCCCCCACCCCCACCACAGAATCTAAAGCAAAAACATAAAACTTGACAGAATACTTACACGAGGACGTTTTTCTCCAGCCAGGCATAGGACAGTAAAGTATAGTTTACTATACAGTTCCACATACACAGACTATGATGTTTTATAAAGGTCCAGACAATTGTCATGTATTCACTACACTGTGTCCAAAAATTAGGGTACTGTGTATTAAACTGAAATAATATCATTCATATATAAAAACATTAGGGTACTGTGTATTAAACAGTAGGGTACTGTGTATCAAACAGTAGGGTACTGTGTATTAAACATTAGGGTACTGTGTATAAAACATTAGGGTACTGTGTATAAAACATTTTATATATAGTTTTTTTTTTAAACATTAGGGTATTGTGTATTGAACTGAAATTTTCATTTATATGAATGAGAATCCTAATCAAAATGTCAATCAGTAATAAACAGTAGAAAGATCAAGGATCATCTAATTTACGATGCTGAATGTTATCTATATATAGCTGTCTGTTTTCACTAAATACCCTTCAAAAATGATAATTGATCAATTTGAGTTCATTTTAGCACGTATTACGCCGAAATCTTTCAAACAAATGGAAATGATGATCTGGGGATTCAATATGTGTCTCGATAAATTGACTTACCCATTGTAAAGCTTGTGCTAGCTTATCACCTAACAACAATATATATGGTCGTGTGACATCTCCAATATAGATAAACATCTGAGTTATTTTATTCCACGCTAGAGTTACATAGGGTACAATATTATCTCTGTATAGTGGAGCGTTAACATTCAACCACCTGTAATATAGATAAGTGAGTTACTTTATTCCATGCTAGATACATAAGTGAGTTATTTTATTCCACGCTAGATACATAAGTGAGTTATTTTATCCCACGCTTGAGTTACATACAGTACAATAGTATCTCTGTAGCATTAACATTCAACCACCTGTAAGAATAGAAATTAATATGATGAGAATATTCCAATGAATTACATTAAAATCGCATTTAAGCTCTACGATTGTAATTCTGTGTACACTTACGCTTGTGTCTGTTTGGTAAATACTTGTATTCTTTTACACGCCTGATTGGTCACCGCTAAAACGCCATAATCTTCTAATAAGACCATCGTTCTTGATGCTGAAAAACAATAAACAAACAATAGAGGAAACGTTTCTCCCCTGCTCACTTTCTAATACAAATACAAATGGTAGTTGATTGTAACTGTTTAGTATTGTCAACCTTTATCTAGATTAGAGGTTCCCAGCCTTTTTCCACACATAGACAAGCCAGCGTCTTACCCACTTAGCCACACAAAGACACTCCACCACTGCATTTACTCTTTTGAAGATGCATTATGTAAAAATTAGACATAGATTCAACAGAATGAAGTAATTTGAACGAAATATTCAATATATTCCTTTTTCATTATCTATTTTTGAACAATTATAGCAAGAATTGTCAGCTCTTTATCTAAATCTTACATAATTTATCTTTAATGAAGGTTATAACTTACCCTTTAGACTTGAACTAGTATTAATATCATAAGCTATGACACACCCACCAACAGTTACCATTAGAAACAGCAACAGTTTCCATGGAAACCCACTCTGGCTTATCTTCAATTGTAGAGCCTAGAAAAATATCAAATATATACGCTATCATTACACTGATGCTTCACAAGATATAGGGGATACTCAATTATTATACCGATTATTATTATTTTTTTCATTAAACTAATTTTCGCCAGATTGCAGTAAATGGAGTGTCAAGTCATAATATGTTTCTCGACCCCAGACCATACTCCCAGAAAACTGTATAAAAACCCAATCTGATTAAAATATAGATTTATATTTCGTTTCGTTTTTTATGCTTTCGATGGCCTACACTACATGAAGATCTGACAAGTTGTAAAGAAAGGTCGCGGCAGGGGTCATACTAGCGACTTTTCACCTTATGACGTCAGATTAATCAATCAGCCGTGCGGAGTATGCCAAGAACTAGCCGTAAGAAAACGTTTCATTGGATAATTCCTCACATCAACCAGAACAGAGCTTATATAAAACAACTCTTCCAGATCCTAGAGTAGTAAGAACAAGTAAAACAGAATTTTGAATTATAAAAAACAAAACGAAATAGGATCTGTGTTTTAATTAAATTGTACAAAGACCTCACTCCCAGAAAGAAGCATGAGTTTTAGATTCAAACTCATACAAAATATAATGCTCAGAGAGGGGACACGGCTTACCTTACAAACTTCAATACACCTCTCTAAACCTTCTTTTTTACTCTTTCCCTTTCCATGAGCTAATTCCTCATTAGTGAGGGAGAAAGATCGAATTGTTTGTTGTAAAACTTTTCGTGGTAGTTTTTTCGCCGCTGTATCATATTTTTCTAATATATACTGTAATACAACACTGCAAAAAAAAAAAAACCCATAACATTTTTTTAATGAATATTTGAAGTGCGATCTATTATGTGTATTCCCTTTGTGGCCCTTTCAAAGATAGAAAGGTCATTTCGAGACTAAAAAATAAGCAGACCCCTTTTCAGAGATGACTATATTATATGGTATTTCTTTTTTTGGTGTTCAGAGCTGAGAGGAACAGAGTTTGCAGACTGGCATAATTTAACATAGGTGGGGACTTGTCATACTCCCTAATACACCCACCTATAACAAACTAATTTGCCCCCCGCCCCCACTATTTGTTTTTAATGAATAGTTTCTTTCTTTAAAAATTCTAAATAAAGTAGTTATTATATTACCTGGATTGTAATAAATGTTTGGTATAAAGTTGACACCAAGCAGGAAAACATTGTTTATCTGTGCTTAAACAGGTTATAATACTTGATAAATACTGAAAATAAATCAAATGGGGTTTAACATCCGACTGATCTGCTCGAACTGGGCTAATGAAGACGGGCATATGACATACAGTGTGGTATGAGGGAAATTTTGCCCAGACAGTGGTGCTATGGCCTATTCCTATATCGAATTCCAACGCCAATGTGCACATGGGACCTTGATTTTTCATCCCATCTGAACAACTAGATGTTGTTACTTGCCAGGCCCTCAGTCATGCATCACTGAACTGAAGTAATGGGTTGATAATACGATCTTAATACTCTGTTAATTGCTGTTAACGGACTGGAGAAATGCCACACATATTATTTTGTTTTACAATAATAATAATAATGAATTTGTATAACGCCTCGTATCCAAAAGTTTGCTCAATAGTGCTGTGTTAGTCTCACATTTATGCCAGATTCTCATGATCTGCACTAAATAGGTGTGTTTTTAGTAAGGATTTGAAGGTACACATTTGTAAGTTATTAAAAGAGAGAGAGAGAGAAATGGGGTTTAACGTCCACTCGACACAAACTAGGTCATTTCGGGACTAACATATGGTTTAATTTTATTTCAATAATTCGAATGCGCATAGTGGTCTTTAGCAGTGGGAGGAAACCAGAGAACACGGAAAAAACCCACGAGGTTGGACAGGCCACCCTACTCCTTGTCACGTACAACCTGGGATTCAAAACCACGCCATTTGACTCAATGTCTGGCCTTATGATACAATGCGCACACGCTAACCATTCGGCCATCTTACCAACCTTGTAAGTTATTAAAGTATTTTGTAATTAATGCGTTGATTGATAGGAAGCCAGTGTAAATCTTACTGAACCCCGCTCCAAAATAACTCACTGATATAATTTGGTAATCACAAACCTCATTTTGTTGAGCTGATGGTGCGAAACTGTCAATACGACTGAGATAATATGGGAAAAAGTTTCTTAAATTACTTTTCGGATCACTTCCATATGCCAAAACCTGAAAATAAACACATTTAAAGTCTTAACAATTTAAGAATATAAGTTTTGTGTAAAATTTCAATCAATTTCTTTATTTCAGATGAATTTCTATTCTGTGAATAAACATGAAATGGGGTCACTTTTCTGCATCAACTGGGTTAATAAAGATGGGCATATGCCATGTCATGGGCTAATGAAGATGGGCATACGCCCTCTCGTGGGCTAATGAAGATGGGCATACGCCATTTTGTGGGCTGATGAAAATGGGCATATGCCATGTCGTGGGCTAATGAAGATGGGCATATGCCATGTCATGGGCTGATGAAGATGGGCATATGCCATGTTGTGGGCAGATGAAAATGGGCACATGCCATGTCGTGGGCTAATGAAGATGGGCATATGCCATGTCGTGGGCTAATGAAGTCTGTTAATTACTCAACACTGCTCGAGAAATTAAACAGTTGTAAACCCAACACTTGTTATCTAATCTAGACGAACCATTTTAGGAACTCAAGATTTTTCGATGATTCTCAACAAATTGTAACAGAGAGAGAGAAATGGGGTTTGACATCCACTCAACACAAACTAGGTCATTTCGGGACTAACATACCGGTAGTTCAATTTTATTTCAATCATTCGCTTGCAAGTAGGGGTCTTCAGCAATGGGAGGAAACCGGAGAACCCAGAGAAAACCCACAAGGTTGGACAGGCGACCAGAAATTGGAAACCATGCCAGTTGATTCAATGACCGACCTTATGATACAGCGCGCACATGCTAATCATTCAGCCATTCAACCTCCGTACCCGAGTGGTGCGGAGTAATTTATTACGAGACTGTAGGAACTCACGACTTTTCGATGATTCTCAACGAATTTTAACAATTTGCCAATAATGGGTTGAAACTAACCATTAACATGATATACAAGTTGTAGTACTTGATATTACGATTCTACCTGGGTTTTATTTTTGTACACCAAATCTTACCTTGATTTTGTTTAACTGTATATTTAATCTATCTTGGTGTTCTGGTTCTATCTGGGTTTTGTTGTTGTATATCAAATCTAATGACTGGAAATAATCTTTAATCGAAATCTCACCATATCCTTCCGATAAATTACTAAATCGTCTGAAATATCAAAATATCTTATCAAAATTCAAAGCCTTTATTAAAATAAATGTTCCATTGGGAACTTTATACATGCCTCGCCTCTCCCTCTGAGTTATTGACTACAGTTCCTTAGGAATGGGAGGATAGAGAGAAATGGGGTTTAACATCTACTCGACACAAACTAGGTCATTTTGGGAGCACATGGTGACTTTGCTAAAACTAACCTGACTTTGTTAAACAAAACTAACCTGACTTTGTTAAACAAAACTAACCTGACTTTGTAAAACAAAACTAACCTGACTTTGTTAAACAAAACTAACCTGAAGAATTCTTCTATATATTGTATAGAATATGTAGCTGCCATCTTGACTCTCATTGCCGGTAGAAAATCAACAACAATTGCTGCAGAAAGAAACATACAATAAATTGTTATAAAATATGGAGGACACCAGGGCGATGTATAACACATCTTTTTATTATACTTTATAATAGTATGGGTGTATCATTTTATATATTTCAAAGTGTTTTTACATTGAAAAACCATAAATTTAACTAATATTATGTTTTTAAAATTTGTAACACTATCTTAGTGAGAACAGAAATCAGTTTCGTACATATATGGGTTTATTTAGTTCACAGAATCTAAATTTTATAAAATAGAAAATTAAACATGCATTATGCAAGAGCAAAATCTGCTTATTACAAGTCTTTCTTTAGGCCTGAAATGTTATCTAAATTATCAATTAGACATTAATTAAGTTATCCAGACCATAATAAACTCTCGATGTCAATGCTAGCCTTCGATGTTGGCTGGATTAGATTCCTATATGCTGCTAATGGCTATTGATAATTAAATCAATAAAAGTTGATAATCGAGACTATGCTGTTTATATTAATGATTTTAGTAATGATGACCGAGACTATGCAAAAATTTCACCCGCTTCTTTCTCGGCTCATAGTGGATCAATTTGACTGAAATTTTCAGCAAATTACCTTTACACTATCTAGTTTTTAACTATTATAGCGAGAACTGCCATCTCTTTATCTTATCTCCCATAATGTATCTTTAAGCACTTTGTCACAAATTATGGTATATACATTAGCGGACAGGTAAGTTCTACAGATGTCAAAATCTGAGAAATACAACTGAAATGGGGTTTGACATCTACTTGACACAAACTAGATCATTTCTGGACTAACATATAGTTCAATTTAATTATGGGACTTTACCTATGGGAGAAAATCCAGGAGGTCGGACAGGTGACCCCACTCCTTTTCACGTACAACTGGAGAATCAAAACCATGTTCAATTGACTCAGTGACAGGCCTAATGATCTAAAGCACATGATTTAACCCTCCCAGTGATTTAATAATAATTTTACCTTTTAATCCAACTTTCATATCGAGTGAAGAACATTGAGTTAACGACCATAAAACCAGTTCACATTGTTTCTGTTTATTCTTGTTGGCAAACACAATCTCTAAATACTGAAACACGATTAAAAACATGACTCATGAAATATCAAAATAATATGTGAGAGAGAGAGAGAGAGAGAGAGAGAGAGAGAGAGAGATGACCGGGGGAAAACCCACGAGGTTGGACAGGCAACCCTACTCCTTGTCACGTACAACACGGGAATAGAAACCACGCCAGTTGACTCAATGAGAGAGAGAGAGATGACCCGGGGAAAACCCACGAGGTTGGACAGGCAACCCTAATCCTTGTCACGTACAACCCGGGAATCGAAACCAGGCCAGTTGACTCAATGAGAGAGAGAGAGAGAGAGAGAGAGAGAGAGAGGGTTTAAGTCCACTCAACACAAACTAGATCATTTCGAGACTAACATATGGTTTGATTTTATTTCAATAATTTGCTTGTGCGTGGTCGTCTTTAGAAGTGGCCGGAAACCAGAGAACCCGGAAAAAAGCCACAAGGTTGGAGAGAGGCGACCCTATTTCTTGTCACACACAACCCAGGAATCGAAACTACGCCACTCCCACGCATATTAACCATTCGGCCACCCAACCATCTTCTTAACAAATGAAAAGGCTGCTCTCTTAAAATAATTTAGTTGAAGTTTCTGTGAATAAGTATTATTGAATATTCTGTGTTAACCATTCAGCCACCCCAACCCTCTTCTAAGCAAATGAAAAGGCTGCTCTCTTATTAAAATGATTCAGTTCGAAAGTTTTTATGAATTAGTATTTTAGAATAATAACATATGAATTACCTGATTAAGTCGTGGAACTATGATTCCAGGATTATCTCTAGCCAATAACTGTAGAATTATCTGATAACCATACACACAAACTGTCAACATATAAAACACTATATTATTTTTATTTCTAGTTTAAACAATTGACAGACAACATCTCTAATAAATGTAATTTGATGGTTGATGAATATGATTGTGTGTAAAGCTATACTGACCCCCACCCCTTTCCAAAAAAGGGAGAGTATCAAGTCCACTTAACACGAGCTTGCATGTAGGGGTCTTGAGCACATTTCAAGCTTGCAAGTAGGGGTCTTGAGCACATTTCAAACTTGCATGTAGGGGTCTTGAGCAACAGGAAGGAACCAAAAGACACAGCAAAACCCACGAGGGAGAGAGAATTTAATGTCTATAGAAAAGTGCTTTGTTATCAGTGAATGAAATGAATTATATAAAATGGGGTTTAAAATCCAACTGTTCTGATCCAACTGGGCTAATGAAGACACGCCTACGCCAGACAGAGAGCTATGAGGGAAACTTTTATTCGGAGAGCAGCAATTCCAACTGCCAATGGATCTTTTACATGCTAGGTTTTTGTGTTCCATCTGAATGACAAGATAGCTGTCCTGGACATGCCCTCCGTCTTGCACCACACCTGGATCGTACCCGACACCTCCAGACTAGCAAGCCAGCGTCTTACTCACTTAGCCACCGTGGCTCCCATATTATGAGTAGAGAAACACTCTAGTGAGATGTTTTGTTATTATCTGTAAATAACTGACCTTTATTAGAATCATTGACCATACTCTGTGTTGTAAGAAAATAGAGTTGTTCTAGGGTCTGTGTAGAGGCTTGTTTTAATACAGATAATAAATAATCACTGCATTCTCTCGTTAAGGCACTTACTGGAAAATCTGAAAAACAAAAATAAATATTAATAAGGTTTGACAGGCGACCCAACCTACTCCTTGTTACGTACAAGCTGGGAATCGAATTCCCCACACTTGATTCAATGACAGACACCATGACCTAAAGCACACACCTTCGACCATAAGGCCACCCAATCCACCTTTAGCAACATGAAGATGAACGAACTTACTCTTTGGTTTGTCTGTGAGAAGTAAATTGGACTGTGGAAGATGTTTAAAATGATTGTTGAATACCAGTGTTAATTCTTTAATCCATGCATCAGGATTAGTGGATTTAACTCCCTGTGATCTCTCTACCATTGACTTTATATCATTTACTTCTAACTGAAAATGTAAATTTAATAAAAATTTATTATTAATCAGATCACAAAGCATTCTCAGACTTGAGTGAATATTTTACTCAACTTTCAATCACTGTTTATGAGAAATCAAACACAAAACTTTCCACTTAGTTTCTTATTGATGTATTTGATACATTAAAACCACAAAAGTTTTATAAAGGGGTATATATTACTTAAAACAAGCTGGACAATTTTGAGTAAATTTTTAACTTAAGTCTGATAATGCTTTGTGAACTATGAGGACTTTTTTGGGATATCGGACAAAATTTCAAGCTCTGTTAAGTACCGTATGCATCTTGACATATTTCATTCTGTACAAAACATGCATTATATAAAATCAGTAAGAAATAAATGGTTTTGACATCATACCTTTCTGCAAAAACTGGGCTTATGAAGACGGGCTTACGCCGTAACAGTGTGCAATGAGGGAACTTTGATTTTGAAAACCAAATGTCAAGGTTCTTTTACGTGCATGCCAAATGTACACCATTTAGGCCATTTAAATTGTGTGGCCTTCATGTCAGCAGCTCAAACATCAGTATACCTACATACATGTACAGACTATCGCAATGGGGGCTTAGTAAAATCAATGTACAATACCTTTTTACTGGCTTCTTCAAATGTTTTTGGTTTTTCTTTCTTTTCTCTATTTTTCTTATTTTCTACTTGATTGTTGTTTAAAGTAGTTGTGGTTTTATTTGAATCTTTCTGTTTATCAATAAAAGCATCATAAGCTGTCTTGGAAGTTTTCAGTGGTTCTGAAATAATAATGGATGGCATTTTAGAAATGAATTATGGTTATTGATGTTATAAAAATCTTTTAATCTTTCATTAATTAGTTAACTACAATTAAAGATACATTATGGAAGATTAGATAAAGTGTTGGCAGTTCTCACTATAATAGTTAAAAACAAGATAATGTAAAGGGAATTTGGTGAAAATTTCAGTCAAATTGATCCACTCTGAACCGAGAATTTAGCAATTGAATTTTGGGCCTAGGCTTCATCATCATTACTGAAGTCAGTACGATAAAAAAAACATAGTCTCGATTATCTATTTTTTGATTCAATCATGAATGAGCATTGAGCAGCAGATTGGATCCTAATACAGAAAATATCGCAGGCTAGCGATGACATCGAGGGTTGATTATTGTCTGGATAAGTTAATTAATGTCTAATTAATAATTTATATAACATTTCAGGCCTAAAGAAAGACCTGCAATAGGCAGATTTAGCTCTTGCATAATGTATGTTTAAGCTACAAGTGCATCAACTCTTTTTAGCTGGAGGTTTGATTGACAGGAAAATTTGAGCTTGTAATAAGCATGTAAGCCGGTATAAATATGATCTATCGACCTAATGTCTTCACATCAACCCATCTCTCTCTCTCTGGGAAATCGACGGGGCATCAAATGATTAAAAATCTAAAATAGCTTAATTATTTTCAAAGGTAGATAATCCTCCTGTCTTTTAGTTTAAAAGATTTCTGCAAAACCTAACGGATTACATCTGCCTGTTTATAAGGTTTTTTTTTTGTCTTGCCCTGAAAAAAATTACCCAGTAAAATGGACAGGGATGAAAAAATAGTTGTTATGTAGAGACGTTCCTGAACGTACAGGTCAAGTGTAAAGCAACCCATGTTTAGAACAGAACTAAAGTATGTACAATGAACAAATATGGGTCATTATAACTAATCATTTGTTAAAAGAAACTGTTGGAAGATCTTGTAATCAGTGTCACATTTACAATCTGACCATTTGTTATGGAACAAAAAAATATCTCGTTACTTCAAGATGGTGGATATTCAGTGTCTTTCATAGTGCAAATTTGACAGTTTTCTTCACCACAAGTAAAAGATAACAATTTGGAAAGATAAATTTAACTAAGTGGCTAAATTTAACTAAGTAGCTAATTTTACGGCACTTCCCGTTGCTCATACACATCAGGAAAATATTTGACTTAGAAAATTTTACGCACGTAAATTAAAATAGTGCAGTCATATGTGGGTGCCATAGACAAAAGTCTTTGTGCTATTTTTAGGATTAGGGTTAGCTTCCAATTTTTTAAATAGTTTTATTAAGGGTCTTTCGGCCTAAAAAAAAACAATGGGGAACTAACCCTAAAAAATAGCCCAAAGATTTTGTTCTACGCCACTGTCTTCACTTAAAATATAGCACAAAAGATTTTTGTATTTACGTGAGTAAATTTCCGTAAGCCGTAAACAGGATATTCATTACAGTTGCGTAAAAATAGGCACTTTGTAAATTTAAATTACCAGGACTAAATAAGGACATATTTAAATGCCCTTTGGGCCAGTGTACATTTTGTTGTAATCAAATAATACTGAATAATCAATAATGGGATCAATTATCGATTTGATATTGTTAAATCTGACAAGAATCTCGTCAAATAACCACATGTTGATCACAAATTGCTTGTAAAAAGCAGAACATGTGTTACACAAAAACACCATTAGCAAATTGATGACGTATGCAGTGGCAAATACGAACACTTTCGGCACGTTCCATGTTGAGGTGAAATTCACAAAAACTCACGGTTTGGGTCAATTCTTGGCATATTTTCTATGAAAGATTTGGTTTGGTTCTTCTTAGATTTCTGGTTTTCAACCCTGTTAGGTTTATTTTTCATTGGAACAGTCTCCCATTTCCCTTCCGACGCCATCCTGATAATTTTATAATGGCTCTTCAAGTTTACAAAAGAAGGCAGAAATAGTATTTAACCGGTATCACGTGACTCCTAAAACCGTAAAGTCCCTAGATAAACACCGTTTTTATTGCGTGTCCTATTGTAGTTCGGGTGATAATTAAAACGTACATTTAGCTTCGGGGCCCGATAGACAATACTTATCAAACAATAAAAGTATCAAATAATGTACGCTGCTTTTTATTTGTATTTAGAAATGGATTTTATTTACCAATAGGAATAAGAAACCTGCGCGAAACTGGAAATAAAAATTGAGCTATTGCCTAGATATTTTTGAACTTAAAAAATGTGATCTGCAAGTGTTATGATCGACTGAATAAATGAATGAATGGGGTATAACGAGCTACTGTCTGCACCTACCGAGCTTATGAAGACCGGCATGCGCTATACTAGTGTGGTATGCGGGGACAGTGTCTAGTCGCTCGGATGAGACGAAACGAGGTCCAGTGTATACATTGGCGTGCAGGTAATTTAAGAACTGTTGACAGAGGTGAATCGAAATAAAAGTAGGACGTAGCGCCGATGTCCTGACAAACTTTCCCGCGGGCAGGAAAATAGGAAGTTATATATAAACCCCATTTCATTGTTAAAACTTCATTTCCATGTACGGTCTTAATCCGTTTATTAGGCGTTAATCTTTTTTAAAAACTCTATACCGTGACAGATGATTGGCAGCTGACAGATTAATGGTTAAACTTATAATTGAACTTAATTAATCTACTAATATATATTTTATGTTTTAACTATTGTCATATATTTTAGTTTTAAACTATTGTCATATAGTTTAGTTTTAAACTATTGTAATATATTTTATGTTTAAAAATATTGTAATATATTTTATGTTTTAAGTATAGCTCCCCACAAGTATAGCCTATACCATCAGAAAATGAAGACATTAAATTGGATATTAATTACTTTTTAAATTAACAGAATATAATTTGAAGTAATTTCGAAATTCATTTTTAATAAACGTGAAAAGTCTACTAGAAAACAAAACGTCTATTGAAAGGCTACTACAACCCAATCTGTTTCAAACACTAATCCTATTTCGTTTCGTTTTTTATAGTTCAAAATTTCGTTTTACTTGTCTTTACTACACAAAGATTGAAAAGTGTTGTTATAACCAGCGTTTCGAATGATGTGAGAGATTAGCCAATGAAACGTCTGTTACGGCGAGTTTTTGATATGAAATGCACGAAACTGTGGGTAACCCACTAGAAACAACACTGATTGCTTAATCAAATGTCTAACGTCATAGGGTTAAAAGCCTCTCATATGAACTCTGAAGCGACCTTGCACTACAACAAGTCAGATCTTTTTATGTAGTCCAGGCCATAAACGAAATATAGATCTGTATTTTAATCAGATTGACTACAACCAGTCCATTAATGATGGGGGATCACGTGGCTAAGTGGGTAAGACGCTAGCTCGCTAGCCTGGAGGTCGGGTGTTCGATCCCTGCATTGGCCGAGAAAGTTCATCCAGATTTTCCGGCGTGGTTCTCCCTTGTCAGTGATGTAGGACGGAGGGGCTGACAAGGAAAGCTGTCTAGTCGTTCGGATGGGACGAAAAACCGAGGTCCCGTGTACACATTGGCGTGCACGTAAAAGATCCCTTGACAGTTGGAATTCGATATAAGAGTAGGCCGTAGTGCCGCTGTCCGGGCAAAATTTCCCTCACAGCACACTGTATGGCGTATGTCCGTCTTCATTAGCCCAGGTTAGGAGCAGAACAGTAGGACGTTAAACTCCATTTCATTTCATTTCATTTCCATTAATGATGACTAGATTTTTGATTAAGTGCGCCTTTTCACCGGGGGATTAAAACCAGTCTATTGCTTTTATCTCTAACCTATATACAAGTTATTTGATCTGTAATAAAACTTCGCTTTACTTTCTCTATGGTATAAAGGCCGTTGACAACCCAAATACACACAAAAACTATAATTTACATTCTATATAATAAATATAGCAGAGATAATAGTAGAAATTGAGAATTGAAATTTTCAGAACATGTCTACCGACAGTTAGTATTAGACCGCTAGGGTAGATTATCTATGTGGAATACATTTATTTTTGCTGTGAGTCGTTACAATTGTAATTATATTGTCATTTTCTGAATGTGTCTATACTGACAGTATAGTAAAATGTTAGGATAGAAGAACAAAGTCGTCGATTGAATGTATTTAGTTTTTTTCTCAGAGTTTTAAAATTGTGTCAGATAGTGATAATTGTGTGGAATTTTAATCATACTAAGAGTAATGAAGATGGTGTTTATAAAGTTGGCGAGACCTGCTAGTGTTCATATTGATAGGAATTGATCTGCTGTTTTTGTTATTGGGAGCCACGGTGGCCGGTTTTGGCCGAGAAAGTTCATCGAGATTGTTTGGCGTGGCTTCCCCTTGTCAGTGGTGCAGGACGGAGGGCCTAACAAGGACAGCTGTCTAGTCGTTCGGATGGGACAAAAAACCAAGGTCCCGTGTACACAGTGGCGTGCACATAAAACAATCCCTTGACAGTTGGAATTCGATATAAAAGTAGACGGTAGTGCCGCTGTACTGGTAAAATTTCCTTTATAGCACACTGTATGTCGGAGTAGAACAGTATATAAGGATGTTAAACTCAATTTCATTTCATTTTCTATTGGTTATTTACTATACTGTTTGTGGTGTCATAATGTTATCTCATCGGTGTCGAGCCTTTTTGTTTTAAAAATAGTGTTGGGGGTTGGGTGGCTGAATGGTTAGCGTGTGCTCGCTGTATCATAAAGTCTGTCATTGAGTCAACTGACGTGGTTTCGATTCCCCGGTTGTACGTGACAAGGAGCAGGGTCGCCTGTCCAACCTCGTGGGTTTTCTCCGGGTCCTCCGGTTTACTCTCACTGCTAAAAACCCCTACGCGCAAGCGAATTATTGAAATAAAATTAAACAATATGTTAGTCCCGCAATGACCTAGTTTGTCGAGTGTACGTTAAACCCCATTTTTCTCTCTCTCTCTTTAAAAATAGTGTTGACCATTTGGCTGTAATTTTAGGAACTTGAAAATACGAAGCGAGAAATCTATTTTCTAACGTTAACGGAGTTTTTAATTAATTAATTAATCAACTCAACTATTATTGTCTGAATACTAATTGTATCGCCTAGAGAATAGAAATGTCTCGAGCTTTGTGTATGTATCAGATGTTCTTTTCTTTAGCCACCCTCTTCAAACCGTAAAACCACCGATCGTTATTTGGGTGTAAAGTCGCCGATGCAGATCGTGTATTTTCGGACAAATATGTCATTTTCACGGCTTATTGCACGCTAAAATGTGCGGACTCGAAAAGTTTTGAAAGGCACAGTCCTTAGCGTCATTTGGCGTGTATTTGGCGTAACTGGAGGTCACACTGGTCGAAAAAAGGTCCGAAATTGACATTACATCGAAAAAAAATCGCGATTTTTAGCGCCTAATGAATCGAAGACGACAGTATAGGTCTCGCTTTCAGTTTCTTTTTTAATAATCGGATACCAGTCAGAGATACAACTTTAAAAATATTGTCAATCCGACGAGGACTTGGTAGCTATCGGCCCCAGAACCAACTGGTTTCCCTGGGCCCCCATTGCGGAGAAGAATATACGTGACATGACGAAAATTTAGTCCATTATATTTTTCAGTGGATGCGAAAATGAATTATATTTATTTTGAAAAAAAAATATGTCCGCCCCTGTTTGTCAAGGGATTCAAAATGTATATTTTATCAGTTCAGTTGGAAATGATTTATTTATCAAATATTATGAGAATACGAATAATATTAATTGAGCGGGGTATATTTTTTATTTTGTTGTGATATCTCTAAGAGTATAAAATAAATCATCGAATCCATAATTGATCAACTTTTTATTTCTTGTGAGATAATCTTGACTTATTTTGGGCTATTTGTTAAGGCCAGCTCAATTTTTGTCAAGGACGCTGAGATGTAAATAAGGTTAGGGCGCGTGATTGTTAGCGAGATTGTAGGTTAGGGTAAGTATTGGGGCCAGATCCAAGGTTAGGGTTAGGGTTGAGATTAGCGCTAGCCCTGTTTACATCGCGTGACCTATGGCGAAAAATTGAGCTGGCCTTATCATTTAGCACTAACCCTTGTTTTGTTCGCTCGATGGAAATGTTATTGACCAGGATTAGTGTTGGTCATATTTTTTATTTGTGTATGAAAAATTAATAATTTCAGGGGCACTGGTCACTTTATAATGAATGAATATCGGACTTATGCGTCCATATTAATACACATATAAAACTTATTATGTTATTGTCAGTCAGTAGTATAGGTATTTTATGTCAAGGGCCTATTGTGCCTGAATGACGATTTAAAAGGGTACTTATAGGAGATATGTGAAGTGTATTTTATTTGATGAAATAAGTTTGATCTTTATAGATATGAACATATTCGATTAATGTCAGATTTGACGAAATGTTTGTGTATAGTTTGGTGAGAATTTGTTGAAAATATTCTAGAATCATGGATTACGGTGTTGTTGAGTTTTGTAGTAAGTAATTATATTGTGTAACTGAAAGGGACAATGTGAATATAAATAAATACATCGTTTCGCAATTCTTAAGGCAAATAAATTGTAAAAAAGTGCAACAAAATAGAGATTCTAGTTAAAATCTACTATACGAATAAATATGCGCCGTCTTTCGTCTTTTTAATAGTGGCTTGCTAATCAGGTGTTCATGGGTTCTTTCCCGGTGTCGGCCGGGAAAGTTCGTTATTTTCCGGTGTGGTTTGTAGGACGGATGGCTTGACAAGGAATGTCTAGTCGTTCGGATTGGACGAAACCCGAAGTCCCCTATACACATTGGCGTGCACGTTACAGAATCCTTGTAATTTGAAATCAGAGAAAAAAAAATGAAATGAAATAAGGTATAACGTCCTATTTTACTGCTCCACCCGGGCTAAAGAAGACGGGTAGTGTGCTATGGGGGGAATTTGGCTCAGGAGATCGGTGCTACGGCCTACTTTTATTTCAAATTACAAGGTTTCTCTACGTGCACGCCAATGCGTAAACGGGACCTCAGTTACCCAGCTGTAGCCTTATTGACATAACAAATAATTCCATAGAACCTTTCAGTTACTTCCTTGAAAATTCACTTTTCGAACTGTATGGGTTGTTAGTTTTGTTTTTGTGTTTGCTATCTATTTCAAAATCTAAGTGCGTATGCCATCTTGTTTTCTGTTTGTCTGGTATTTTTAATGTAGTTTAAACAGTCGATAATGGGTTATCTATAAGGGTTTCAGCTTGGTTTTTTTCGTCTGCTCCTTTTCTTTTTATCGAGATTTCAATATTGTAACATTTGGCCTACCATCAATAACTTTGGTATTATTATTTTCCCTACATAGTTTGGTTGGCTATGAGAGCTTGCATCAACGGAATTTATTACTTGAGTAACACAGTATAGGTCTATTTGAATTAGACATTCACATTTATTTTATATGGCCAGCCAAATTTAAAGTGAAGAAAAGCATATCAACATTCACAACATAATTTTGTGGATATTTATTTTTAAAATTTTCTTCGAAAATCAAGATGATACCGAGTAAGTAAACGCTATGCTCTTTTAACAAAAGTCTGTCTCAAATGCCACCGAGTTCAATCCAATTGCACTGAGAATTTCCACGTGTTTACCTCCCTTTAGTGCGTCAAGGGGGATAACCAATAACTACATAATTTGGGTATTTACGGTACGGCACATATCAATACTTTAACAGACGACACATGGTTATTTATTGATACGTGCATGCTTGGATAAGAAATGTTTATTTGATTACAAGATAAAAACTAATTAATTAATTTAGACTCGAACAATATTTCTCAATTCACACCCATTCTTATTTTATTACACCGATGTTCAGAACTATATTTTATATCCTTTAGATTTCGGTAATTTGGTCGTCCAGGATTACACTTCCGGTTTCAATGGTGGGAGATTTGACATCAAAAAATCACCAAAACATGCTGGAAAAAAACGAAAATTACCACCAATTAACGGCATTAACGAAATGAAGAAAACACATGCATCATTCTTGTCAGTTTTGAAAAGTGAAGACAATGAATCCCTTGCTGTCGTTCCAGTTGTTTCTGTGGAATATGTGAATTCGGATCCAGTAATGTCAGTATGGGGGACAACTCTTCCGAACCAAACGCCTCGACAAACGAGACACCAGGTGAAATCTAAATCCACAACACGATCTCAAGAAAGGGGTAATATTTTTTAAAGGTATTTTAGTATACTGTAGTCTGCAGATATGAGCATGAGTTTGCATTTTTAAACGCCGGGGTCAGCTGGTGCAGACTGTGGCATACTGCAATATTGTAGTATTGTAGTTGTACCCACGTCCTGTCTTGTCCGATTACATGAATACATGCCATTTCGTTCTGAAAATTCATTAGACAGGGTCCGAAAAATGTCGCTAAGTTAAAGTAAGTCCCAAAAGTTGTCAAACTGAGTCAAAAACGATGTTTGTGTTGAGTCGAAAATGACGCAGGACCCAAATGACGTGCTACCCCATGTCCGCAATTACAATAATGGATACACTAGGCTATTCGAGGCTTTGCGCAATTAAAATTAGGTTCATTTACAAAATTTTTAACAGATATCATCACAGTTTGCATAGAAATTATGTTACAAATAGTGCGGAGTGAAACACTCAAATTTTAATCTTATCTTACCGAACAGTGAAATCATGTGCATGTTCTAATTTTGGTTCAGATGCCATTTTAAAATGGACAGTAATTTTGTGTATCTGTTGGGTTTTATCAAATCATATAATTACATGTATCACCTTTATTTCAATGGGAATTGTTTTATTATTAAGCTATGTGCAATGTGCAATACAGTCTGTGGTCGGTTTAATTAGAAATTAAGGGAGTAACTTTATTGTCATCAAATCATGACAAAACCTGCTTAAAGGAACTCCTTAGAATGATCCACTACTCTGGCTGTAGCAAGATGAAAGACATCAGTACCGGTAGTGGAACCATTTCTAGCATACATAGCATGTAGCTGCAATAATAAGCTATTGTAGCAGTGTCTTGTCTTGTGGCTGGAGCAAGCAAGAAGACAGTGTCAGTAGCGGAACCATTTCTAACTGTGGCACAGTCAGTCTGTTGCCGTTCTCGTTCTGTCATCCACAAATTTTAAAAAAAAATTACACACTACAGACTGAGTACAGTCTATACATGTGTACATATAGCATGTGATTTTTAGAAAAAATGTTTTCAGTGCAAAGAAGAAAATCAAGAATACTGTTTGAATTTCTGCAATTTCTGATAAGAACTTCCATAGTTATTGCCCTTGCTCTGGTGACAAAAGTTTTTGTCTGATCAACTTGAAATTTTTAGTCATTGTTTATAATAAAGATGCATTATGTAAAGGCTAAATCTGCCTATTAGGTCTTAAGTGTTATATAAATTATTATTTCTAGACACTCCTATAAGAAGCTCTCTAGAACATTAGATTTAAACAGATTTGAACACCCATGAAATTAAAAAATATACGATAAACAGTAATTGTGTTCCATAGTCTTATCCTGGGTAAGATCACTGACACTATCATCTGCCAGAACATTCAAAGTGTAATCTGTTCACCACACAACGAAATGGAGGGGGATTGGATGACTGAATGGATAGCACGTGCGCACTGTATCATAAAGTCTGTCATTGAGTCAACTGGCGTGGTTTCGATTCCCTGGTTGTACGTGACAAGGAGTAGGGTTGCCTGTCCAACCTTGTGGGTTTTCTCCGGGTCCTCCGGTTTCCTCCCACTGCTAGAGACCCCTACATGCAAGCAAATTATGGAAATAAAGTTGAACCATGTGTTAGTCCCAAAATGACCTAGTTTGTGTCGAGTGGACGTTAAACCCCATTTCTCTCTCTCTCTCACAACGAAATGGACTCTAATATAATTTCATTTAATATATTTTGTTATTGCAGTTGATGACTGTCCAAATCTTGTGTCTTTACGTGGTAAAGGTTATGAAATAAGTCTACAACACATGAAAATAGCTGATTACAGAGATGAACATGATCGGTAAGTGGACATACTTTTTTTATGTTTATATTACACTAGTATGTGCTTGAGGACCACACCACACATAAACAAACAGACAAGACAAACCCACGGACACGACACAATATACAGACAACACAAACAAAACGCAAAATCAGATCAAATGAATGGATCCATACACAGTGATTCATACAAGCCTAAGATTCTAAGATTGCTTAGTGTATACAACCAGTTCACAACTACTTCACAAACTTCAAGAAGTGTGAAATTATTGTACCGGGTATTCTTAAGACAACCCTAAGGTCTGTTATCTGTGCAAGTCATGGATTTTACCCCAGGCTGCTCATTGGTTTTCTTAATTTCCCATTTCCTCCCAATCTGCAGTCAAGTTATGAAATGAAATAAACCATATGTTAGTCCCAAAATTACCTAGTTTATATTGAGCAGATGTTAAACATCATTTCTTTCCCTTGTTCTGTATGTTCCACAGATCCTATTTCGTTTTGTTTTTATGGTTCAAAATTTCATTTTACTTGTCTTTACTACACTAATATCTGGAAGAGTGGTTATCATTGACGTGTTCTGAATGATGTAAGGGATTAGCCAATGAAACGGTCTGTTACACAGCAAGCTTATTGGCTTGTGGTGCACGGAACTGTTGGTAATCCACTAGAAACATCAATGCTGATTGGTTAATCAAATGTTTGATGTAATAGGGTCAAAAGCCGCTTGTATGACCTCTGACGTGACCTATCACTACAACCGGTCAGATCTTCATGTAGTGTAGGCCATTGAAAGTATAAAGGGGGGTTGGATGGCCGAATGGTTAGCACGTGCATGCTGTATCATTAAAGGCCTGTCATTGAGTCAACTGGCGTGGTTTCGATCCCCGGTTGTACGTGACAAGGAGTAGGGTCGCCTGTCCAACCTCATGGGTTTTCTCCGGGTCCTCCGGTTTCCTCCCACTGCTAAAGACCCCTATGCGCAAGCGAATTATTGAAATAAAATTAAACCATATGTTAGTCCCGAAATGACCTAGTTTGTGTCGAGTGGACGTTAAACCCCATTTCTCTCTCTCTCTCTTGAAAGTATAAAAAAAAAAAACGAAATATAGATCTGTATTTTAATCAAATTGTGTATATTCCTCCATTGTTCTCTTGTAAGGTAACTAATAATGTGATTGTGGAGAGTTACAATGTAGTTATACATGGTGTATACATATATTACAAATTTAGAAAGCTGTCAGTGGGCATACTTTAGCTTGCCTAAAGTACCTTATTATGTGAATGGAAATTATGAAAATTTAAATATGGGTTATCTCCCTTCAAGTCTTATCTGATGGAGACTTACTCTACTGCTGTAGAGATCTACCGTTATGCCTTAGAAACATTTATTCATAAGATCTGTTAAATTACTATTATGAATGATTGAATTTCTTATAAATGAATAAGAAATATACTTGACATTTAACATACTAACCCACTGATCTATTGACGAGACAATTTATCAGTGATAAAAGGATTTAAATGCGATAAATGACAAACACTTTTTATATTTTCATAAAGTAGCTTTAAAGTTTACTGGGTGTTTATTTAATATAATAAGAGTAAGAGATACAAGTTAAAGTCTCAAAGTTGATCAAAAAGATTGTTCAGTCATATGAAAAAACTTTTGATATGGGTATTTAAAGATCTGTTTGAATGGATAGACTTTGATGAATTACCGTACTCTGTATATGAAAGCATTGTATCTTTGAAAGACATTTAGTGAAAGCGATATATAATAAACAGACAGTTTTATGGATAACTTTGAATGGCTTCTGATTCAAACTGTTAATTAGTTTTATTGTTATCCACTTGTATATAACTTTTTGTAACATGTTTGATTGTATCATTGCTTGATAATGGTGAGAGTATCCGTGTTGAAACGTTGCAGTTAATAAACCTAGTGAATATTATCCATAAAACTGGCTGTTTATTGGATAAAAGCATTATTAGAAAGGATAGATTTTGATAAATCTACTTCAATGTCTTTTTCTATACTTCAAAGAGTATAATTGAAATGATCAAACAGCTGATATTATAATGATTTATATTACATATCTATCATATGATTATTGGAGGAGGAGCCACAGTGGCCAAGTGAGTAAGATGTCTCGCTAAACCTGGGGCCCCGTGTTCTATCTCGGTGTTGACTAGGATTTTCTGGCGTAGTTCCCTCTTGTCAGTGGTGCAGGACTGAGGGCCTGACAAGGGACAACGTATATGGGACGGAAAACCGGGGTCACATGTACACATTGGCTTGCACATAAAAGAACGCTTGGCAGTTGAAATTTGATAATAAGAGTAGGCCGTAGCACCACTGTCCCGGTAAAATTTCCCTCATAGCACACTGTATGGCGTATGCCCATCTTCATTAGCAGGTTAGGAGCAGAACAGTAGGACGTTAAACCCCATTTCATTTCATTTAGATACTCGATTGTTTACTAATTGAAGTTATACTTTATATATCCTCTAACTACTATACTGTATCATGGTATATGTATTTTGTGTAACTAGTAGTTACCCCCCAAAATACGGTAATTTTTTAGGTTTTTAAAACGTGTACGAGTCGGCACGCTTTCATTCTATCATATTACTACAACACGTAATTTTGTAGGAATATTACTGACATAAATTGGAATACTGTACTGGAATTAAATATGAAAAATAACAAGGTGCACGCTTTCATTCTATCGTATTACGTCAACACGTAATTTTATAGGAATATTACTGACATGAATTTGAATAAATTTATTGTAGTGCAATTCTCTGTAAGTAAATGGTGGGTTTCAACATAATATGGTTCCCATGTGTCGGCTTGGTTTCCAGTAGTGTCACATACAGTCTATGTATGTAACAAATGTTACAAGTTGTCTATTTTAAGAGTAAAGAGGGGTAGAATTTTATTGCAGCGGCAGTTGAATTCATTTCCAGTGAACAGAGATAAAGTTCTTTTGTATTTACATACAATACACTATTCTTGTCAGACATGCAGGGCTTTAAAATTCTCAAATTTGTTTTACTGCACCCCTCCCCGCCATCTCACAAAAACAATTGACAGAGCAAATTATACTGGTATAAGCTTTTATAATCATTTATTATCCCATGTTCATAAATATCTAATATTAGCACTACCCTAGAGTATACATGATAATCATTTGAATATATCTCAGGTTATGTTGATTTAACAACATAAGAAGTTAAACAAATAGTCAATCAACTCTATCTGACTTATACATACTAGATTTAATCATGAGCAGACTAGCTGTTGATCATTTATGTTTAATTTAACTATCTTCTCTATAGGCCTATTAGTCCCCAAATGACCTAGTTTGTGTCTAGTGGACAGTAAACCCGATTTCTCTCTCTATAGGCCTACAATATATGGATTTGAATACATACACTGTATGTGACATCATCCTTTGGTATTTGCATACCTTTATTTTATATTAAATGAAATATTGAAGTTGTGTGACAATTTTCTGTGCAGGAAAGTGCCAATTGTACATTATTTTATACTAGATGAGATGTTGGACTTGTGTGTTGATTTCATTAACTTGTTTAATGATCTCAAGCCAGACCTTGCATAATATATTAAAACGACACTCAGACTACCGGTTGTGCAGTATCAGTTTATTACTGAATGTCTGACTCTCAACAATTAAACCACACAGAAAAAGCAATTGTAATTTGAACTGACATTCAATATTTGTAAGATGAGTTTGTAATGAAATCAAAGCTAATATATGTATCAGGAGCCTGTTTCACGAAATTTTAACTAAGATAAAATCCAAATTTTAGTAATTTGATTGGATAATTTTAGATTGATTTTAGTGCTTAGCCAATCAAAATTGGAGTATCTACTAAAATTTGGATTTTATCTTTAGTTAAAATTTCGTGAAACAGAGCCCAGCATTTTTGTTCCAATGTTCAGATTTGCACAAAATAAAAGGCATAAATATCGAGACATCCTCTCGGAAGTGTCTAAATATGTGACAGACATTGTCGGACACAGATTCAGACTTTGTTAGGAACAATCCCACTAGTGTAGTAGTGTCTGGGGGTTGGATGGCCGAATGGTTAGCGTGCATGCGCGTTGTACCATAAGGCCTGTCATTGAATCAACTGGTGTGGTTTCGATTCCCCGGTTGTACGTGAGGAGGGTCGCCTGTCCAACCTTGTGGGTTTTCTCTGATTCCTCGGGTTTACTTCCACTGCTAAAGACTCCTGCTTGCAAGCAAATTATTGAAATAAAATTGAACCATGTGTTAGTCCTGAAATGACCTAGTTTGTGTCGAATGGACGTTAAACCCATCTCTCTCTCTCTCTCTCTCTCTCTCTCTCATTAGCTTGGTTGGTGCAGAAAAGTAGGACATTAAACCATGTTTCATTTGCATTGCTTTAATCCTTATTTTATGAATGAAGTAATTTAATCAATGGTCTATATCCTCTGGCCCTTTTATATATACCAGTACACAACATGTACGTTATCTTGCTGTCCTCTTTAACAATATTTAGTATTCTACTCAACAAGTCTAGTTGTGATTTTACTAACTCGGAGACATTGATTGAGACAAGATTTATCTGAGAAGTCTATTGTCTTTTTCCTCTCTTAATTCTAGTCAGTGTCAGAATGTTTCAACTCACAGCCATATACAACAGAATGAATGAATGAAATATTGTTTAATGGCACGTCAGCTCCAACCGGGCTATATTACGCCAAACATATGGTAATATATACAAAGAGAGAGAGAGTCTGGTCAATTACGGGCATGGTTACCATTTTGAGTAAAATTGATATATCAACATTAGAACCAACCAAATATAAAATTATGACTGTCAGTAGTGAATGGAATGATAGTTCTATGTACACAAGACATGGTGGGTGAGAGTCAGGAAACTTTGTAAGAATCTGTAATTGTCACTATGGTTATACAAAAAATCTATTTTATTACTAAATCACAGTTGTAATAATTATAG